AGACACGCACATGCGATGGTGCAGTGCATTACTCCAGATGAGTGCATGGGGGTTATGTTTGTTTGGAACATCTTTATCCTCTCTGGCTCCATCGCTGAATGATTACATAATGTCCCATACCACTTCCATCAAATTCATCTCTCTTTGACTTTCAGTGCTGCATCTGGGTACGCATCACACACACCGTGCCGCCTTTCCTTAACGTAAAACAACATGTGCAGCTTTGAAAATGCTTTGAATATGAATTTTGAGTGCATTAATGGCAGCATGGTTGCAGGGGTTTTTATTTGTGCTCAGAATTGGAGCTCTCAAGACCACTGATGGGATAGATGGTAGCAGGGCATCAATATTCATAGTGCACCATTATGTTATTAAGAATTTATGAACCAGGAATGTTCCATGTTTCCGCCCTTTTCTGCCAGCAGACATGCTGCCCCTACTTCTGGTTTTAGGCCAAGTTTGAATTCTCTCACACCTTAAAGATTTTAATTTACAACGAATCATGTTTATAAAGGGAAGAGTCTGGATATTATGTTTCATAGATTAAATGCGTCCTGTGCTACAAAAAGAATAGGACAGGACAATTTTCTTAAAAAATTACTCATATTTTTTTGCAGCTAGTAAAACTGTCATAAACATTTGCATCCACAAACAATGCAAAGTGGTCGCACAGATTGGAAATGGAATGCTTACATGAATATGCAAACACTGGGATCTCTTCTGAGACTTAAACCACTCTTGAAAAGACATTGTACCAAGCCCCGGAGCTCACAGCACATTGAATAAATTGTAGCCGACATTCTAGGCCACCTAAGTACATGCTGCACTGTGGTTTATCAGCTGACGCTACTGTAAAAGGCCAAGTTTTATTAGTTTACACTGCCACCTGGTGGAGAGATGGTGAAGAATTAACTTTTCACATACAGCTAAAGTCACTGTAGTGGGACTGGTGTAAAAACTGGTTATATATCTATACTTTACAAATGTTTAAGACTGCACCACAATTACACTTCTAATGGCTCCTCTACACTGACACTTTTCAATTACACAGTCCAGTCTGGATATGAATATGTGTAATTTCAGTCTTCTTAAAAAAAAAAAAAAAAAAACTCGATGGTGAAAGCTTATTATCTGTCATGAGAGACAGAATCCCCACCAATCCTACTCTAACTTAACACAGAGCTGTAATGCACGCTGGGAGCATGTGTTCACGAGAGATAAAGATGTGTTTGCGTCCAGATGCCTGAGGGTGACACGGTCACATTACCCCTCCCAAAACTAGTCTGATGTGGGCACCAGCAGGTCAAAAAAAAAACAGTGTACCATAAATTCAGCTACAAGCTCTCATTGGGATTCCTTCACAATGTCTTGTTTGAATCTGTTTGACCCCAAACATTCAAAAGGATGTCATGGATTTTTAATTGTAACTCGATAATAAAATAAAGTACTCCTTTTTTTTCTGGGATATAAAGAAATAGTCAAGGATAAGAAATATCAGTCATCTTTTCACACAGTTAAATGAAGGATTATAATAGAAGACTCTTTTTAACCAGGCACAACTACATTGAATACATGAATGAAGAAGATACAGATGGAGTCTACAAAGAAGAGGGGCCCAATTTGCACAAAAGAAGAATTGTCACCCTGTATGTGCTGGATGCAAAACATCAGTGCAATGCCCTCAAAACAATCCTTGAATGCAACAGTTCAGTGGGATCATTACTGCAACAATAGCGCAAATGCCTTTTTTTCATACAGCTTAAATGGTATTTGATACTCACGTCATGTGCATGTAGAAGGTCATTGTACAATGCATGGTCAGTCCCGGACAGTGTGACCAGGTCAGAGGAAAACAGAGAGACAGAAAGAGAGTGTGTCAGTGCAGTAAAATACTTATTTTATCTATGTAACAAGACACACAATAGAGAGTTCAATTGAGCAGGTGACAGCACACAGACTCAAGGAGATGCACAGAATTCAGATGAACATCTATTTGGCATACAAATTACAAATTAACAAATTACTTATGCTGCACTGTATGTCGTGAAAAGGTGGTGTGAGCACATACACAACTACTAATTAATCACATAACGTTACATGAATAGTTATGTTAGAGTATAGCATATGGTGCTAGCATGTTTTTGAGAACAGAAAAGCAAAGGGGAAAACAATGGAACAAGGTTATAGTTGACAAATCAGTAAAGTCAATTAATATTACCACTGGTTTTCTTTTAGAGCTCTAACTCTATTACCTGCATAATAAACAGACCTATACAACTAACATAATTCATATAGGACTGCTGTTTGGCCTCGAAAGTCTTGTTTTGGGTAATTTGCCTACATAGGTGTATCTGGTTTATGAAGTGTTTGGGGCCCAGAGTCTCTGTGCTGAAGAAAGCAACCTTACAACAAACCTTCTGCAGACATTTCTGACCATTTTTATCATGTACTCGAAAAACTGCAGAAGGTTAGGAGTCCTGTCTGTTATTTTAAATGTAGGCTAACAGCACAAACATCCCTGACCTCGTCGTATTTGACATAATCCCTCTAAATACGGCGCAGTGAACTGTAAACGAACTGCTGCCGTGTGTAAACGGGAAATGAAAGAAAAAAACTCGCTGGAAAAAAGGTGTGTGATATAAAGACAATGACAGTGTCAGAGTAAGCGAGTCATACCTGAGCAGACAGATGTCTCCTCTGTGTGTTTCCTCCACCTTTAGTTTGATGCCATAGTTCCGGTGTTTCCCTTCAGAGCAACTTGGAGACTATCGATCAGGTTTCCACACACAGAGGGAGAGGGAGGCGGTGACGCAGCTACAATGACGAAGCACTAAGTAGTGATGGGTGGAGATCAGAGGTGGGAGCATTACTTCAAAATCACATGGATTACTCTTTCTTTTATTTAAGTAACGATACTGGTAGCCCCCGAGGAAGCAAAATGCACCAAAGCAAGGCATTTCTGTTGGCCATTACAGGGGAATCAGGTGCAGTATACTTCCTGCAGCGCAGTGGTCGTTAGTGGGAGATTCCAAACTGCCTGAAAATAGACAGGGACTAAGGAGAAGTTAAGAGAATAGTGCCCAATGCAAAACAGGTGCAGCTTTCCTGCTGCATGGCTCTATATTTACATGAGTCGTTTGAGTATCAGGGCCCGGGCATTAGAGGAATGTATGGTCAAACATTAAACTTCAGTTCAACTGCTTCCACCTTTTCTGCCAGTTTCACAGTGAGCCATCACAAACAAGTCTGATATCAGCAAAGTCACACAGCCACCCCACCTCCCCTGTATGTATAGCCATGTGTGGTCTGCACACGTCTTCACTGGTGGATCCACTAAGAGGCGCTGCTGTGTGTGAGGTTGCTGTCTATTATTTTAAGGAAACAATGTGCATCAAAGTACACGCATTTCTGTGATCATGGGCAACCCTAGAGAGAAACTAATTTCTTACAATTGTTACTGCAACAACTACTTCCTGAACCTGAACATGAACCAAGGATTAATAATTGATACTATCTGCTCTCTATATCTGATCAGTCACTTCATGTTCCTGGTTGGTTAGAAATAAAAGGGATGTCACGCAACCATGTGACAAATTATTACTTCCTTTTGAACACATTACTTTCTATTTTTGTGTCCCCTCAATAAAAGTGGTAGAATGCATTATACATTCACAATGACCTTACCATCACTTCCTATTAGTGTCTCCTCAGTAAAGTAGTGCTCCAAGTGTATAAGGCCCACACAAATGTCCTTGCTAGGGCTCCATTTGATGACCTTCAATATCTCCTTAAAAAGAAGAGTGAAATCTCAGAGGGTGCCATAGACTTCAATCTAGCAGCAGCTGCTACAGCTGGAACATCTGTTTCAGTATTACCTAAAACCCAATGGCCAGTGTTGGCACTGTCCCAGTAGGTTAGTCAAATATATCTGGCCTTAAAGGTGTACTTCAGCAATTTAGTATTGCACTTTCAAACCTGAAGCAGCAGAGTAGCCGTAGTATTGGGTCAAGCTCCCATACACTTCCCAATTCAATAACATCTTTCACAGGCTGATTATAGTTAGATAGATAGATAGATAGATAGATAGATAGATAGATAGATAGATAGATAGATAGATAGATAGATAGATAGATAGATAGATAGACTTCCATTCAGTTTTCATACGTACTATATTCTCACACTGTGGACAACCCCTCTCATCCATTATCACGCAGAACAGCCAGGATCCACCCAGTGTGATTAACTTTACACACTTAACTCCAACCCTCTGGATGTCCGCACATAGAGATAAGAGTAACTGTCATCACCAACAAACACCAGTTCACAAATGTACAGGAATAGTTATACTGTTACCCCCTATTGAATGTTTCCCTTACTGTGTCACACAGTTATTCTGCAATCTTGAGAGAAATGGAGAGGATAGATAGATAGATAGATAGATAGATAGATAGATACTCCTCTACCTTTCAGGTAAATATTGTACTTTCTACTCCACTTCTTTTATTTGATAACTTAAGTACAAAATATAATCAACATTTATATCATGATCTATTGTAATAGGTTAATAGGTTTATTGATCCCCAGGGAGAAAGTCATAAGATGTCTGGCTGCAAAGTTAAAGTGATGTACACATTAATGCATCAATAATTAAAATCCAATAATAAACATCCTTCAACGTTGACAACAAGTGGGCCATTCTGCATAATGAGTGCTTTTATTTTGGTAGTTTAACTTAAGTGAAAGATATTAGTGTTACTCTACCACCGAATTTTGTGAAACTGCAGTGTTTTGTTTTATTTCCACTGGTATTTATCAGCGGTATAATAAAGGCATACTTTATGTTAATAGTTTAATCCTAAATGTAACGTTGGTTTAAAGGATGCAAGGTTTAAAAAAAAAAAAAAAAAAAAAAGTTTTACAGCGACTCCTGTAATGAATACAGATGAGTTAGTACCTATCAGTCCCCACAGAGAGCAGTGAGGCAACCCATATGTTTTACCAGGAAGAAAGAAGAGCGGGTAGAATAACGCCAGTCCTCTGAGGGAATATGAACCACTCGGCGCCCTAAGGCTGAAGTCTGAAGTTGTGACTTTAATATGGCTGATAAAGGTCCGTTTTTAACTTCATGTATTATTTTCTACCTCTCGATTGGAGCCGCAATATTCCAGATTCTTGAGGAGCCAAACTGGATGACAGCCAAAGACAAATATATTCTATATAAGGAAAACGTTTTGAAGGAGTATACCTGCTTAACAAAAGAGAGTCTGGATGACATTCTGAAGGTATGAACCCATCTGCCCTTAATGTTAACAGTATGGGAGACAAACGCCATGGCTGTGAGTTTTCCGTGTATCCTACAGTAGGAAACTTTCATTAACCTGCTGTGTAACTCTTAAGATGGATCAACCGAAGTGCTCCCATAAACTATCATAAAGTCAAAAGTAATTAATTCAATAATGGTTCAGATGTTGCTTTGTATTAGACTGTATTACTACAGTCTAACCGCAGTAAATTAGAGCCTATACATTGTGAGAGAGAGAGAGTTAATGAGAAGTTCCTCGCCTGTGGGCTAAACGCCAGGACACCTCAGAACTTGTTTTTCCTGGTCAGGAATAGAAAACACCCAACTTAAACTATCTGAGGCGGCCCCCGGTCGCTGTGAAGCAAGGCTATTAAAATGTTCATTTGTTTAAATATGATGCCTGCATTTGTTATCTAACACAAGAAAGTTCAAGCATTCATGATTGAATCCACACATGGCGGTGAACTGTGGCCTACATGAAGGTGCATGTCACCTTAACCACAAATATTCGACTGTTTGCCTAAGGTGTGTTACGGTTAAATGGCTGCACGAGATTTTTATAGGAGAATAAATAATTTATATTCAATAACAGTATCGTTACGAAAAAGTGGAACGAGTTAAGGGTGATTTGGGGCAGTTTTTGAATTTCCGCCCTGTAAGATTTCTTGTCTTAAAAAAACTAAAAAACTAAAAAATCAACCATACACATTATACATTGCCTAAATGAGGTAAGATGTTGCCTATCCATTTGAGGAGGGAAGAAGGTTTCAAGGTGGATTTAGACTAGCCTACCCTAAACTCACCCAAAAACCTTTTTTTTGTAAGATTTGGGTTATTGGAGCAGCAGGCATATCTATTGCATGGTTTAAGTTATATTCAGTTCAGTTCAATTCAGTTAAATTTTAGGCTATTTGTATAGTGCCAAATCATTATTTCATGGCACTCTACAGGGTAAGGTCCAGACCTTATTTTATTATAGAGAGAAACCCAACATTGATGTAATTTCACATGCACATTTTGCTTTTCGTGTTCATTTCTGTTACTATACTATACTATACAATACTATACTTGAGGTTTAAAAATCCATCCACAATTCATACAGTGTTACAGTTGCCACAATGATGAACACATTAAATTGAGGTTAAAAAATGGTTGAAGTCCAAGGTTCATTGGACACATTTGAGGTAAAACAAAAATGCTTGAGGACAATTTTATGACCTATGGATGAAAACTAGCTACAGTGTCATGTCTTTTTCTTCAATTCATGCGTCACAGGGTCAACTTCCTGTTGCTTGCCATGCCCATCTATGTGGTGTCACATCAATGAGGGCGTGCGATTTTTGGTTTCACAGCTAGGGCCCAGCAAAAAAAGTATTTATTTTTTTTAAATGGCCTTAATTTTAAACTCTGCTAACATACTAACATGAAACATGAAGTCTCTAAGATGTTATTTTCTCAAATGGTCTTCCACAGATAGTGTCAGAGGCTGCAGGTCAAGGTGTGACCATCACTGGGGACAAGCATCGCAACTCGTGGGACTGGGGGAACTCTGTCATCTTTGCTGCCACCATTGTCACCACTATAGGTTTGTATGAGTTCTGCACTAATGAAATATTTTCAGATGAGTTTAATAATGGATTAAATTTACATCAGTATAAAACATAACACTCAATCAACATGATTTACATTGTTTTTAATCTTATAGGTCTCACAATAACAACTGTCTTGTAATCATGTGTAATCTATGATTTATGTAATCATTTTAATTATAATTATGATTGTTATCGTACTATAGAAATTGAGAAAACCATGATCTCGAATGATGAAATACTAACATCTTTAACATCTATAATGGCACACTTGATAGATTATAATGGTAACTCATCAAATGTGCAGTGAATGTTAATTTCTAATTATTATATTTGTAACTAGATTCTTTGCAAGCAACTGAACTGTGCATTGGATGTCTTGCAAAATGAATAACCAAGCAAGTTAAAAAGACAAAATGTGTAATACTCGAGAATGATACCCCTGTATGTAAAGTGTTTTTACTCTCAACCTGGCAACCCAGATTTGATTCGTATTGCTTAACTTTGTACAAAAGTTTATGAAAATATTGTTGTCGTCTACAGGTTATGGCAATGTTGCTCCCAAGACCATCGGTGGTCGTGTGTTCTGCATCTTGTATGGTCTGTTTGGGATCCCCCTATGTCTGGTATGGATAAGCGAACTGGGTTCATTCTTTGGAGACAGAGCCAAACGACTGTCCCAGGTTCTGATCCATAAAGGTGTTTCAGTGGTAAGAAACGACTGAACGGTGGAGTTAGTATTTGTCTGAATACTGTAAGGCAGCTCCATGAAGTTGTAATATCACATGAAGATTTTACTGTGTATGTTTCTCTTCTCCCTTCTGTCAGAAAAAGGTCCAGTTAACCTGTACAGCCTTATTCCTGTTATGGGGGCTGTTCTTGCACCTACTGATCCCTCCATTTGTCTTCATGTCGCTCGAAGGATGGAGCTACCTGGAAGGGATCTATTTCTCTTTCATCACACTTACAACGGTTGGTTTTGGAGATTATGTGGCAGGTAGGTTTAATTCATACAATGTAGGTCAGTTCATTGAAGGTTAATGTTTTTCTGAGGTTATTTGTGCATCTGAATTTTTTGTTTGGTTAAGTCCTTTGTTATAAAAGTCATGCGCGTGTATCTACTCCCATTTCAGGTGTAAATCCAAACATAGAATACCCCAGACTGTACAGAGTATTTGCAGAGTTATGGATCTACATGGGCCTGGCCTGGCTGTCTCTGTTCTTCAGCTGGAACGTCCACATGGTAGTGGAAGCTCACAAGGTGCTAAAGAAAAGGAGACACAGGCAGAAACATGATGAGGAACCCCCGTTTGTAGAAGATAAGTCCAACCCAGATGTGAAGCAGTCTGTCATCAACATCTTCAACTTCCTGTCTGAGAAGGATGAAGACTACAGCACTGTCATCAAGGAGATTGGAATCACAGCAAGAGAAACAAAACCTGCAGACAACATAAATCGCTCTAAGAGTTGTAGCGACATCTTGACCCTGGATCACTCGCCACGTCACAGACGCATGATGAGTATTAGCGAAGTGTTCATGACTGCAAAGGCTGACATGGACAAAGGTGATCAAGAGGAGGAGAGCTCTCTAATACAAGAAAGCAAAGGAGGCCTTGAACCTGCAGAATGTGCGAGGACAGGAAATGTAGAGAACAAGGACAGAGTGTTAGATTTAGAAAAAGATGGTATCATCTTCACTGCACCTGCCAAAGATGTTACAGAGGAGCAAAGTGCAAAGCATCCCGATGGTGGGGGGACTAGGTTTAAAATATCCAAAGTAAATGAAGATTTCTTAATGGAGTACGATGAAAATGGGTAAAGCATCCTTTCTAAAACTTCTCACCTTAACCAAAATAGTGGAACCAGTCAGACTGTGTTAGAGTTTTGTAGGCTATTAAAACATCCTAAATACTGTTCTGTATCAAGGGAACAAACTGCATTTCATGGAAATACTACTACAACTATGCAAATTAAGGCTGCTCTATTAAACGTGCTATTATTTTATGCAACTTTTAAATTATGAGCTGCACAAAATGACCCAGTGTATATATCAGGTAAAATATTTTATTTATTTTTTTGATACTCATATGCATCCAGATCTTTTGGTACAACATTTCTAGTCTAAAACAGTAGCACTCATAGACATAGAATACATAGATTATTTCAAATCGCAGCACAGGGCTTTATGGAAAACAGAGCCAATAAGCAACTTTCCCTCATAGGGAGCTGCTACAGCGGAGGCCATTAATACATGGCCATTATCAACGTACTCCCGGCTCACCACTGGCTGCTCTGAGTGAATGTTCTTGATCTGGATGACCTGGGGAAGACAAAAAGACAAGGCAAATTGTCGGGCAAATTCAAACAATAATGAAGCTTTATAATTTTAAAATAATGAACACAAACCTCAGAGCCAGGTGGATCTTTGGGGTCAAATGTTGACAGCTTCATGGCATTTGGATGACAGCCCAGCCAGATGTCACCTGTCTTGTGGTCCACTTCGATGTTATCACAAAGTGACCCAACAGCTACAGACTGGTTGGAAACAGTGAACACAGTAAATGAAGCTTGATAATCAGTTTCTGTCACAATGAGAGTAAAGCATGTATAAATATTGTGTCTAGGATTAAGTTGTAGTAGTTCAGCATTTTGGTGTATACACTTATTTGCTTTCTTGCCAATAGTTAGATGCTCAGACTGATGTTTGCATCAGTATGTAAAATATGAAGCTAAACCAAGTGCCGGTTAGTTTCAAGTCTTTATGCTAAGCTAAGATAAATGGCGTGATAAATGGATGTAAGAGTGGCGCACATCTTGCATCTAGCTCTGCAAGAAGACTTACCTCCCAAAATGCTGAACTAGTTGTTTAGTTTAATTTTTTTTTTCTGAGGATAGAAAATAAGAAAACACAGTAATACCTTAATATACACTAGTTGTTCCCCTTCTTGCCTTTCAAAAATATTTATCTCATGGTCTATGATGTCTGAAACATAAATGTACCTGTAAGGGAAAAAAAGCAGTTCTGGTGCATTAGAACACACAGCGCTGTGGAAGTATTCAGTTTAAAAAATATGCACATGTACATCATTAGTGAATGTTGAAATGAATTCATAGTAACCGTTTGTCGGGTGATATGTTGATGCCGTTTGAGGACATAATACCATCGGCTGCCACCCTAACTTCCTCTGGACTGTAGTACACCACGTTGCACCAGGGCATACCCAGGATGATGGTCAGAGAGTTAAGTGCAGTATTGATAAAGTAGTGATCATTAGTGGCATAGAAGCTCTCGACTCCGACTGCAACAATGTCATTCACACTGAAAGACATGATGAATAATCATTTTTAAAAAAGCATATGTAAGTTGTCAAATGTAAACTCTGTAATACTGTTAAGGGTTTATTGGACAGGACATACCTGTGGAGTAGATGGTGGGTAATAGTTTTTAGGTGCACAAGTGTGTCCTCGGCAACAAAACGGAAGATCTCAACCTGGCTTTTGTGCTGAGGGTGATTGACAACAAACAGGTATACAGAGCCATCTGCAAAGAAAGAGTAACGTGACGTGCGTTGTCATCCTTCTCACCTTACAGCGTGGTAGAACTTAAAATGAAAGTTTCTGTCTGTGTTTGACCCATGTTCTGGTCTCACTGTCACACCGTTGCAAATTTTCATGTTGCTAAAAGTTGTAATCATTAATCTTTTGGCATCACCCTTGGTTACCAGCATGCATGGTTTAACACGACAGGTCCAAGAAAATGATGGTTTTTGATGTTTTGGGAGGTTTTACGTTTGAGATCAGGTTTAACCTCTGTGACAAATACATTGTTTCCGGTGGCAATAAAAGCCAGTTTGTTTGTCCAGAATTTTTATATGAAGCAACAGAATATTTTGCTTCATATATAATTGTTCATTCCTTTTACTTCTATTTGCTTATGCCTTATTTTGAATTGGTTGTTTTTGTATGTTTCTAACTTTGTTAACCTTTTTTAGTGTTTAGCTGTAACTGTAGCTGTCACTTTATTAAATTCATTACAATTCACGAGGCCCAATGAAAGGTGTCTAGTACTTTTAGTATTTTATATTTTCACAATAATTGCAATCATTTCATGCACAGAGCCTTTTTTTCTTTTTTCTATAGTTGAGATGTTGAACCTGATTTGAAGGTCACCTGTTTCATCAGTGTATACACTAATGCCATGTGGGTTGAAAGAGCTGAGGTCCAGCTCTCCTTTGATTTGTAGCTGCACTGGAGTAGGCTTTGGATGCAGCAGATCTAAAATGTACATTTTCCCTGGATCATCAGAGAATGAAGGCAATCCAGGATACTTCAGCCCCTGAGTGGAAAACATTGAAAGTAAGACACTGAGCTGTGATTTTGACTTGAGATCATTACAGAAACACTTAAGTCAGCTAATTGGTAATCACAACTAATTTAATATATAATATAGAGGATTCATAAAGGAAATTACAATGATGCATTAATTCAGATTCATGCAATTTGTGGCTATGCAGTCATATTAATAACATACTGTGCTCAAGAAGGCCAGTCCATCTTTAAGTATTGTGATATCCTCTGCCCCATATTCTGTACAAAACAAAACAAAACAAAATGAAACTCCTTATTAGTTCTTTAATCTTACCACCTTAACATTGCAAGACAAATATTTGCTGACACTTGACCAACTGTCAATTGCCTGCACTTCAAACTCTTCAGTTATGATCACACTTTACACATAATTGACATCAGTGTAAAAAGATGTTTACTCTCCAGAACATGATTGACAATGTAAATGCCTAAATGAAGACCGTGACATGAACATAAATCCAAGAATGCTTACCAATATTATTTAAATAATGACACTTGAGGTGTTTCACTTCCACTTCTCTGGAGGCAAGGGTCATTTCCCTACAGAGCAAAGTAAACATTTAACAAGAAAACAAAACACAAGTAGCTATACCATATTTTATAACTATATCATTAGCAGTGTTTGGATATTTTAAAACTTGTAAATTATTGCCTTAATGCATGCTGAGACTTGATCTTTTACTGTACTGATCTTAGTGTAGAAAACAGCACATGTGAACATTGAGGAGCTGTTCTACTAAACCTCTACATCCAAATATGGTCTCTATCTTATCTCTAAGAATAATAAATACTTACTTTAGTTTAAGAAATCTGTGTCCAATGAAAGCAGCAAAAGCAGCAACAAGAGCAGCAAGCAGCACTTTCCTCATGGCAGCCATGTTCAGAAGTCAAAGGTTACACAGGAACTCTTTCAGAGTGCATTTACATAGCTGCACCAAAGATGGAGCTAAAGTGTTTATACCAAGGAGCAGAATTAGATTTACCCTCATTACTTCAGGAAATCTGGATGGGGTATTCCTGATTGACATCATAAATACCCCAAAGAAAAACTTTCTCACCCAGCAACAGATGTGGGGCATCTTTCTTTTGGTTGCTTTTTTAAGAAGTCAAGTCAGTATTCATTTATGGATCTTAATCACACTCATGCGATTGTGTCGACACACCTTGGAAAAAAAATTGGGGCTATATAAGAACAAAACATTAAAAGCAACTGACATATAAATATAAGTACAAAAAGTCAGATATGATATTATGTGCAATATGAATACAGTGTACCCACACAATATAGTGGGTACACAATAATAAGGAGGAGGCTGGACAGACAGTTCTGAGTTTCTGATAAAAAACACAAGATAAGACTTGTGTAACTTGAGTTATGTAAGAAATACTGGAGGAAGTATTGGTATACTGTTTGTCAAGCCGCATATAAAAAAATCCTCACTCATATTCAGTCATTTTGTATGCTGTCACCAACACAGCACAAGACAAGCTAGAGTTGTAGTGTGACTCTTTGTTTTATTCCTTTCAAATACAAGAGAGAAATATGAAATTTTTTTAAATAGCAAATGGAACATGTAAAATCTAAAAGTTCACATTTTCAGGTGACCAGTGAAAAATATTCTTTTCGTGATACACAGCAAAGCAACTACATGAACTTTTTATGTTTGATTGAAAATATCATTATTCAAGCATTTATTTCAAAGTGGTTCATGTATCTAGTCAATTCAGTGTCTGAAACCATTTTCAAAAGGTGCTCATTACTCATTCCTATGAATTCAAGTTAACACTATACATCTATCTTCCTCCAGCTCCTGAGGAATACTCTTATACCACCTGAGAGACTTGAGGGTCTATTACCACATCCTGTCTAGTTCAATGGGGTAAACTGCACTTTTTCACATAGGTAACAAGTGCTCCAAGATCTATGTATATCATCGTTCAAATCACCACTGCCGTGCCTGATTGAGAGCCTTGCAAAGAGCAAAATCTTGATTTTGTGACTTGACTTTATTGAACATTATTTTTTCTGCTCACTGAGAATCATAGTTTACAAAGTCATTGCCTACTTCAGATCACAGACCAAGGCTTTATGGAACACAGAGCCAATGAGCAACTTCCCCCCATAGGTAGCTGCTACAGAGGAACCCATGATCACATGACCGTTGTCCGCATACACCTGAGTCACCACTGGCTGATCAGAATGAATCTTCTGGATGCGGATGACCTGGAGAAAACATAATCGCAAGACAGAGACAATTATAACAAAATGAATAAGTCTAAAACGATAGCTCATCTGTTTGGGTAAAGACAATATTGGTATGAAAATTCCAACACATAAAGCATAATATATTTTATGTCTGTTTTTGTGATGTTTGTCAAGATTCTCACAATTTACTATCTGGTAAAAGTGAATGGACAAACCTCCGATCCAGGTGGGTCCTTGGGGTCAAACATGAAAGCTTTCCATCCATTAGGGTGACAGCCAAGCCACAGGTCACCTGTTTCAGGGTCAACTTCAATGTTGTCACAGAGGGAACCCACAGCCACGGACTGGTGAGACGTCATAGACAAGGTTATGATAATACAGTCATCATGGTGTCTTGATTACCTTGAACTGCAATTTTTGCATGACCTGTTTTTGTAGTTACGGTGGGAAGAAAAAGTAAGTAAACCCTTTGGAATCACCTTCATTTATATGTAAATTGTCTTAAAAATATCATAATCTAAGTTACAATTATGAACAATTTTAGAAATATAAAGATTTTTTCCCTTAAAAAAATAATAGTTATAGGATAATTCCAGAAGTTATATGTTTAATTATTGATGTTGAAGCATACTGAGTGACAAATGGAAAAACAAATTCTATATAAAAATATTACTGAAATGTTGTTGCATTCACCTTCACAGTGGTCAGTGTATTGTCCTCTTTCCGCTCCAACACGTGCACATTGTGGTCAAATAGATCTGCCACATATATATGTCTGTAAATGAAAGAGAATAGTACAATGAAGAAATTCAGACATGTGAAGCATGAATGACCTTATGCATGTCCCTGCTGATCCTTCTTACCTTTTATCTGGTGAGATATTGATGCCATTTGCAAAGTAGTAACCCTCAGAGACTATTTTCACGTCCTTGGGACTGTAGTACACAACATTAGCCCAAGGCTGAGCGAGAAGAGGCTCCACCAAACTTTTAAAGATCTCATGGGTAAAATAGTGATCATTGGTTGCATAGAAGCTATCCACACCCACGGCGACAATATCATTTACACTGGAAAGAAAAAACACAATTGACAAATTATTTTAATGACATAAAATTATTATTATTGACTACAATATATGTTATTGTAATATACTGCACTTAACTCTCTGACCATCATATGTTAACTTACGACACAGGATAGTTTTGCAAACACTTTATCAGACTGACTACAGCTCCGTACTCAGTAAATCTCAAATGCAGTTCACAGTAGGTACAGTTTAAATTTGTCACCATACACTACCTGTAGAGAAGTTCGTGCTTTATAGTTTTCAGATGCACCAGGGAGTGGTCGTCCTCAACAAATCTGAAGACCTCTACTTGGCTTTTGTGTTGAGGATGATTGACAACAAACAGATATATTGTGTCATCTGATGACAAACAAGGAAAGCATTGTAAAAAATAAAAATAAATAAAAATGAGACCTTTTTTGTACAAGTAAAAACTACTCGCTTTCTTAACAATGACATATTAAAAAGGGAAATGTCCACATACTCTATACACACACACACACACACACACACACTGAACACCAAATATAAACCATCTTCAGCAGTTATACAGTCAGATTTGATTTTTCCATCACAAAATGTACTTTATTTTGTGCTATCAATGCAGATCTGTTGAGAAATAGAAATGTTAAATCTGGATCAAATTGAGAAACCAGTAAAGTCACTAGACTAGAGTTTTTTCCCTTTCAGGCAGACTTGTGTGACGTGTGCAACCACACATAAGTGATAAGTGCTTTTACCACTTGGATCAGTGTATACACTGATGCCATGAGGGTTGAATGACTCCAGATCAAAGTTTCTTGGCATGCGCAGCTCCACTGGTTTTATCCGAGAATCTTGTAGATCAAGGGAGAAGATTTTTCCTGTGACATCTGAGGATGGCATTCCAGGATACTTGAGACCCTTGAGATATTAGAAATAGATTAACAGACTATAAAAAAATATTGCACAAAAAAATGACACCATACATTAAGTAAAAATGATCAGGGAGAGTGGATTGTAAAGGACCAGTACATAGCCCAGAATTGGATACATATAAGCTTTGTATAAGAGGGCTTTTCTTCTCTAGAGTAGCTAAATAACATGTTTTTCTGCATTTTAAGACAAGCTGGTCAAGTCCATTTTAAGAGAAAAGCACATAAGCTATTGACCTTTATGGAACGTTCATGGTTTTAAGTAGGATCAAGAAGGATTTATTTTTATCTTTGAAGACCACCAGAGGGATTAATTTAGAGTTGAGTTAGTTTTCTTTCTCACATGACAACAGCGTTAGCCACTGATTAAAATCCCTGACTGAAACATAAAACAAGTTGGACAAGCTGGACACGTTTTATTGACAGGACTTTTATTCTTAGTTGCACCGTTGTTACAAGTTTGTTTAACCTTAGAAGCATAGGTTTGGCTGCTCTTCAACTCAAATACTCACAGCGCTGATGAAAGCAAGTCCATCTCCAAGGATCGTTATATCCTCTGAGCCATAATCTGCAAGCACACAGTTGCGAAGTTAATTCTAATGTCCTCTCGTGTTCATTTTTCAGTCTTATTTTATTTTGGCGTTACTCACCCAGATTTTTAAGTGCAACACAGTTAGGGAGGTGATTCTGGACCAGCTCCCGAGAGGCGAGAGTCCTTTTCCTGCAACGTTTTCAACACAGAAGTCACTTAAGGGCAGGTGGCCACAACAGAACGTTTATTTTTCCTAAAGAAAAACGAGGAAACCGAAGCTGAAACATAGCCTTGTTGTTTAAACACAAACGGAGTTGCTTTCTGTACTACCTTAAGTTGACAATCCTCTCTCCTAACAGCGCCGAAAAGGCAGCTATTACAAGTGAGATGAAGCCTAACTTTCCCATTTGGAAAACGCAAATGGCAAATTTTACAAACAGCACAACCGGCCGAGCCCTGCAGCCGAGGCGTGCCACAGCAGACGCAACTAATGCTGCCTTCAAGACTATCGGACATTATGTCAACTTAAGTTTCTTTTGTTGATTAACAAAAAGACTAGCCTTAGTATCTTTAATATACAAATACTTTAATTACGAACAACGACATCTTGCAATGTAAACATCGGCAGTGGACCTGACTGATTTCAACCTCTTCTTCTTGGAGCTGTAGGACAATATACGCCTTTGTTTACTCATCTCTTGATGAATAAGATAAAACACAGCACATTTATTTTCATAGGCCTATTAAACGCACGTACAAGGGAGACAAGTTTTTCGTGTTTTTGATTTCCGACATTTGAGAAGCACACGAATGTAGCATGATCCCGATTGGTTGGAGCCGCTCTAACTGGAAAAAAGTTACAGCTGAAATGCCACAAATTAAATTGTCTGCACGGAAGTCATGGATTTATTCTGATCTCGGTAGTGAGCAGAGGGTTGTTGGATCAGTTTTTCTATTGCAGTGCAGGTTCAGTCGTTGTCGGCTAGTAGCTGTACAAGCAGTTCCGTCCTTGTGAATGAGTGTGTATCAGATGCTGTGAGTGGTTGTACCATAATTGACGTTTGACACCTTCACCGTTGCACATGTAATGGCAGGAGTCGTTTATGTGTGTAGTTTGAACCTCTGCCAAACCACTACAAGTGGGAACACTGCCTGCCTTGCATTGGCCTTCATATTTTCAAAAGAGCACATACATGTGAGTGATGAACTCACCTTTTATTTTACTGTAATTAACTAGAAACTGAAATGACCTGGGGTGTAAGCTACATGTGCTACCCCCATTTTGACCAACACTGACAGAAACGTGTGCTCTGAATGTGGTTCATTTCTCATTCACACAATCAGCTTTTATTTTTTTTTCAAGCTATCTAGAAATATGTACATTTACACTTTTTGCCTCCAAAATGATTAAGGATATATGCATTTTCATCCACATGCTCCCTTACACACATCTGTACAAATAGTGAAAAAAAACATATTAGTCACACATTCACTTTGTTCAAGCTGACCAGAATAATGGGGCTGTGAATGTATGAACACAAACTTGGGGAATCCACTTTGCTCTAAACACACCGTAAGTCATTTGGTGCCAAAATTCATTCATTTTATCAAAGGAAAATGATCCTGTGGGATTAGCTGACTATGCTGTTCTGTTTTAAATTCACTCATAAACTGCCAATGCAACCAGTCAACAGATGGTATACTCAATAACATGTAGTGCCTGCAAAGCCCTGTTTAAATTGTTTATTTTTGAAGTTGTTTTTTGTAGGTGATGACTCCTCCCAACATAAAACAAAAAGTTACAAAATTGTCTATGTAATCAAAATCATGTGTAAGAGACTTCATAAAAAACAAACATGAACACATACATACACATACAGAAGTGAAAGTAACATAAAATTGGCAAACTATTGACCCTGTGATATTCAGCATTGGGTGCATGCAACCTGACAGTAACTGTAGAATATCTACAAAAGTCCAATTAAAGAATGATAGCATCTAACAACTTCAAAACACCAACAACTCCTGCACATTACATTGTGTGCAACCAGCGAGCACTGTTAGTTGGGGCACACCAGACTCCTGACTCTGTTTTGTGAAGTCGTGTAAGGTTCACAGTGTAATACAGCAGGATCCCCATCAAACAGTTTCAAGCAAGACTGTATATTTGGAACATACAAAATAAATTTTATTATCCATTCTCTTCATGTCTACATCTTATTAGAATTTCTAGACAATGGCATTGTCAAATAACACACCCAAATTAATTCTAATAATCCTGACAGGTGCAACAATACATTTCTGTCAAGTCCAGGTGTCAAAATATAACTGAATGTGAAAAGCAATTTAAATCTTCTTCTTTTGTTATTTTTAACATAAAAAGGGGAGCCATGGCCCTGGGCCGCAGTGAGAGCTAGGCAGGACATGGCCATGAGCACACATAAACACAGGTGAGGAAGTGGCTTCAGGGTTGGGCCCCAGTGGCTGCAGGGACTTGTGTGGCCAGAGTGTTGGGGGCAGAGATGACAGGTGATCCAGCAATGTTAGCCAGTGGCTGTGAGGAGGACATTGAGGTGATGCCTAGAAGAGACAGGAAGCTCATTTATCATTTGGAAATGCTCATATTTACATGTCACCACGATCTAAATTTAGAGATATAAGTTTCTTTGCTGCCATTTGCCGATGCCCCTGTTGCAATCTGCCTATTTGTTGGCTCCAAAGAAAGTTACGCCTCTAATATGCAGCCAAACAAATGGCATCTGCAAATATAGACTATTTCTTTGATTAGGGTAGTTAATTCCAAGAAGTATTACTCACCGGCCATCATACTTGAGGAGCTGACTGGTGTAGAGCTGGCAGCCATCCCCCCAGGAGTGGCCCCCCTTCCCTGATCTTTAACGATGGGATCTGCGGACAGATTTGAGCACCTCATAAACCAAATACATGTGTTGACAAAATTAAGCCACTACAAGTAGCGCGCACAAATTCTGCTTTTTTGAAGAAAAAAAAAAAAAAAGCAATCTTACAGAAGTAGGGATGATCCATGGCCTCTCTGGCCGTGAGGCGGGCTTGATGGTCATAGCGCAGCAGTTTGTCCAAGAAGTCTAGAGCCTCGGTGCTGACCAGGTGCTGGTTCTCACTGTGCACAAACCTCTCCCACCTTTTGCGGGAGTGTCTAGAGAACAAACCAGGGATTAAGTGTTGAGTGTATTCATTTGGAAAAATTATTAATACTGTACTGAGGTCAAACAGCTGCAATGTTTTACCTTCCCAGAATGTCATTGAACCGTGGATCCAATTCAATGTTGTACTTGTCAATGTAGTCGTACAGGTCCTCGGTGCCAAGTACTTTTGCAATCCGCACAAGCTGCAAGGTAGAAGAAACATAATTCAGCAATTAAAAGATAGCCTTTAACAAATGCCTAACTCTATGAAACATACTGACGAATGTGGACTGGATTCCATTGCAGTATATTTATAATCAATTAGGTAGTGGATTTTTTATGACATGTATACATGATGTCAATAAAGTGGTTATTGTGTTTAAAAACAGATATGAACAGTGTGCACGTTTCATTAAATATCTGTATAGTACATTTACAGTTTTTTAAATAATCAAAGCTAACTGAACCAATGGGCTTCGCTCTGTAACTGTTAACTCACATTTAATGACCTATACTAACTTGCAAAATAAACATAAATCCATTGTAAGATAAGGCTTAATTGTGTTTCATTTTGATGTTCTGATTACAGTAAACTTTCCTTCATTTAAGAAGCAAAACATAGTTTTATATCCAGTGTAAAGCAGTAATTAATTTTTAAAACTACAACTTTCTCTAACTTCTAGAGAAATAATTACAAGTTCAATCACTGAGCACAGTGTGAAAGTTGTACAAGATGATTATCTGAAAAATAAATCAACATCTGTTATTGTGTACCAATGGAAACCATTCAACAGTACTGTTGCATAGGCCCAAATGAGCCATGGAAACAACTGGAATGCTGTATGGTCAATGTCCTAGTGTAGGCAGGGAACGTGGGAGTAAAATGTGTTATGACTGTGTCCACTACTACAGTCTCACATTTGTTTTTTACTCATTTTCTTTTCCATTCAGTACACTAAACTGCCAAAAAGTTAATAAATGCCTACCTTCACACAATAACTGTTGAGACAACTTTGAGAAAGACATATCATATACATGAGGCCTAGCAGAGTTGCTGTGTTGCTAATGTCTAGTGTCAAAAGAATGTGGTTTGACTGTGTAAAAACAACACTATGTAGTACAAGGTGTTTAAAAAAAAGTCTGCATACCTGATCGTAGTTGTCATGACCATGAAAGAAAGGTTCCTTTCTGAAGATCATGCTGGCGAGCATGCAACCCAAACTCCACATGTCCAAGCTGTAGTCATACATCTACAAATAACACAAAGAGGTGAAAAGGTTTTAACTAACTTCATGACTGTAAGAAACCTGGCATGACTAGACATGTAGGGATAAAAGAGCTTCACCTGGTAGTCTACCAGCAGTTCAGGTCCTTTGAAGTACCTGGATGCCACTCTCACGTTGTATTCTTGGTTTGGGTGGTAGAATTCTGCCAAACCCCAATCAATTAGACGGAGCTGGAAGTTAAAAAAAGGTGAATACATATTAGAAAATGTAATTACCTGCTGTCACAGGGAAAAGACAAGACATGAAGAAAATAGTCACCATTTGAGATCATACCTTCCTGTGTTCATGGTCAATCATTACATTGTGTGGCTTGACATCTCTGTGCATTATCCCCATACTGTGGCAGTAATCCAGAGCCTACCAGGTAAAAAAGGAAAATATATGTTAAAAGTATTCTCTGACTGTTCAACTGATTTAAATAGAGTTTGATATAATGTTTCTGACAAATATTAAAAGAAACAATGTGGACTATAAAATAAAGTGTAAATATCAAAGTATAAGTATCAAAAACTGTTTCTTACCTTCAAGATTTCGTACATGTAGAACCGTATGTCAAAGTCAGATAGGGTTTGGTACAATTGCTGTAAAAATAAAGAAAGTACGGGCCATCAGAATAAAAATAACTTTGTATTAGCTTCTCTTAAATTACAAGTCAAAAGAACCCTGATCTTTACCTTGAAGTCTGTGTTGTTCACATGTTCAAAGACCAGAGCAGGGGTTCGTGACTAAAAAGATAGAGAGAGAAAAAAAATGTACGTGTTTATGCATTTATACACAATTCCTGAATTGTTAAAGTGCAATAAGGAGAACAAAATTACCACAGGATCCTTGACGATATCTAACAGTGAGATGATATTTGGGCCACCCCGCAGATTCTCCAAGATCTTTATTTCTCTCTTGATTTTCTTTTTCTTGACCGGCTGTGAACAATGACAGTCTTGTGAGGTACGTAAAATCTCCATTGTAATGACAAAATATAGTATAATAATAGACTGAGTTTTACCAAAAAACATTGGCAAAACACAAATTATCCGCCTAACCAAATGATTATTGCCATACCTTCAGTATTTTGACGACCACCTTTTCATTGTTTGTGATGTTTATGGCTTCAAACACTTCGCTATATTTTCCTCTCCCTAGTTTTCTGACTAGCTGATAGTCATCTTGGTTTCTAAAAAAAGAGAAAAAAAGGGAAAAATAAAAACAGTTAACAATCCTGACATGGTTTACCCAACAAAGCAAAATAAAACAAATACAACTAAAGCCCCAACAATTCCCCTTTGCCTTACCCCCATTCAACAACATGGGACTCATAGTCCCAGTATTCCCGAGGTCTCTGTGTGTTTACATCAGGGTAAACTCGAGAGCGGCTTGGAACAGGGCCAGACATATTCTACACAAGATCTTCTCTAAATCTCCTATAAACATAACAGGACAAGAAAAACAACAAGGAGAAAAGTGAAATTTCAGCAGCTTAATTTCACAGTAGAAGACAAAGATATTACAAATATTAATAAGTACTTAAGTATTTTATATACTAATTAATCATGTTTCAGAGCATCCTTATGGTAACCATAGGTGATATAGTGTATTTAATCAGGTATAAGATAACACAATACCTGGGAGTATCCCTCCAGGATGTTGGTGATAGATGAATTGGAACAGGAGTGGTTGAGATGCCTTTATGGTAAGAAAGCTACATGGGCACACAAAAATAAAAAGACACTTAGAGCGAATTACTGACCATCTATTAAAATTGTTTCAACGCCATATGTAAAACCGAAAAATGAAAATCATAGCTTTAGACAAGTTTTCACTTAAAAATGTTTTTCCCACTCTTTCTCAGCATGTTCATCTGAATATGAGCGTTTCAAAAGAAAATGCAAATGTTTCTCACGTGCTACGAGAAGGCGGCAACAGTACGGTAAAAAGTAAAACAGCAGCATATGTGTTAAAAAGCATACAGATATTAACTAAACGAAAAACAATTCAAATAAAATTAAATTATTGGTGGCTAGCGTGTCTAAATATGGTGGCTTGTGAAATGGAGAAACCTGAATGTTAAATGGGGGCATCCAACCAGTCTAATCAGGAGGTACAGGGTTCAATACAGTCATCACTGGGGGCTACACCAAGGCAGTATCTCCTGTTGAAAAGAGACAGAAAGTAGGTTGATTAAATCAATGCTGTCAATTAAGCAAACATGAGTGAACTATGTGAGCCAACGTACGCTAACCAATACAGCTAATAAGGCTGCATTAAATTACTGCATTTATGTGAAGCATTTAATCGACAAATGGTCTCTCTGATACAAGATACTCGTTCAGTTATGCCCAATTTGTCCGCTTAATACTTTAATGAAAAGAAGACTGTACGCAGAAACCTTCTGTGGCCCAAGGCCTGTACAAGTGCAGTGGAGCTAACAGCTAGCTATGAGGCAAACCGGGCAGCTGGCTGCTAGCTAGTTAGCATTAGCTCGGCAACAGCAGAGGGAAAAGCCGGTTGGAAAGTCACAACTAGCTCTCGACCACAGTATGGGCCTGTAACGGAAATAAACGAACAGTCCGCGTAAAAATAGTCAAATCACCATTCCAGCGACCATTACTAACGTAGAGCTAAACAACTATCTTCGAAAAATATATTTCCTAAAGCTAAAAAGTGCTAAGCTAACAGGCTAGGGGAGTGAATAGCCTGCTGGCTGGCGAGGCAACTGGCTGACAACGCCTTGAAAAAACATCCTACAAACACCGTGGTCGAGCAGCAGAACGGCACGGCTGTTGTGATACTTGTTCCCAGCTTTCCCTGACAGGTAAAACACTAAACGGCTGTTCCAAACCTACGACGATTTACGGTTAAATAACACGATTACCTCTCGGCGCTGTTGGGACGTCAATATGGCGATGCTTGGGATCAAGAGCTTAGTGCGAACAGCCTTTCCCGCAGAGGGCGCTCTCCCTTTTCTTTTTCATGGAGGGGAGATTGTAGCGCTCTCTGCCACCAACAGGTCTGATTGAAACAGAAACTTTAGTCTGTATCTGTCTGTATGCTCAGACAGCTGTTTTGTGTGATAACGTTGTATTATCCTAACCTAAACACACTGCTAATTTCTACATGCAACATGCTCTTTTGACCATCACAGGCCCTGCAGACACCGGGTATGATTTAGTATGTTTATGATAAGTAGGACTACATCATTTCAATTTTAATAGTAGGAGTACATCAGTTATAAGAGTCAGGGTTAAACATATTAATTCCTCTGCTAACCTAAAATAACAGTCCCCAGCCCCACCTTTCACACCACAGAGACACACATGAGACTGCAATTCAAATTGTTGTGCTCTTCATTTCAGGATATTTCTACCCAGAGACATTTCTATACACTGATGTTCAGTGGGGCCTGTTTTTTTAAAAGGTCTTTGTTTAGGCAAAATATAGAGCCACACTGGTTAAATGGACAATGGTGTAATAGTGACAGAAAACAATACATGGTCTGTGGCATCATTTAAAAAGCTACCTCAGTCAGAAAAAAAGCCAGAGGCATTTTCCTGAAGTAACCGCTCACCTATAATCAACACATAGGAGAGAGACAGACTATTTCTTTTTGTGCGTTTGAATGTTTAGAGAATTTAGTTTCATCTTGTAGTGATGTAATGAATAGACCTTTGTAAACTAATTAGGACCTTTAGCCTAATTGTTGCTCCTCTGCCTGCAAGACACACACTGTTGAACACACAGAAATAGCCTTTGATGAAATCTCAATTTGATACACAGTGTCAGAATCTATAATTAACCAGGGCAAGACCTATTCAAGGTTAAAAAGCAGGATAAAGTGGAAGTACTTAAAAGCCAAACAGCACTCTTGCTGTCAAACAGCAGACACCGCTGGAGCCTGCAGTCAACAATGAAGCTGTAAGTTTTAATATTTTGTCATATAAATATTTGTCTTTTCAATCACCTGTCATTGAAATATATTTTATTTCTGAGCTATAAATGACATAACGCCATAAATTTGATATGAACATGCATTTCTCACCAAAACCTTGAGTGAATTGTGATTTTATTTGTTTCAGCATCGTGTGGTGTCTCCTGCTTCTTCCATTTGCAACTGTGGTGTTGACAGCCCCAGTCAGAGGTAAACCCATCTGCAGAAGAAAAATGATCAAATGTTGTTTTGAGCTTACTCGGCTTTTATAGTATATGTTTAATATTTATTAAATAGGACAGTAGCAATCACACCTTTTCTGTCTTTCTGTCTTTTCAAGATCGAAGAGAAAATTTCATAAGCTTCTTGAATGGTGAGATTATTTATGTCATTTTTATATGTCAATTAATGTTTTCTTACATGCAAAATAGTGCTTGTGATGGTGTTTGAAATCTGACAAATTACTGTTTAAATCATTACTGTGAACCTTTATCTCATATTTTTTTCATTACTGTTGTTATAGATGCACTTGGCACAATGACCACACCTGCATATGCAACAGGTCTGTGATTCAAAATGGATCAGTCAAACATAGTGAGATACATTTGGTTCAGTAACAGGTGACAGCTTATCTCACCAAATCCTCAAATTACTTTTAGTTCCCCAAGAATAGAGAGATGTGAGGTCACAAAACAGAACTGAGACATTGTATGTATGTGTTTGTGTTGCTTTATTGTGCAGCTTAATCTTCAGGGTGAACTGAAGCAAGCATTTTGACAGTATCTGATTGTGACCATGTAGAACTACCTCAGTGATTATCAACACATATTTTCTCATGTCTGCAGCAAATAGAAACCCTCCAAGTAAACCTGTGACAGATAAAGACTCTGAAGGTACATTTTCATACTTTTTTATACTGTTGAAAGAAATGTGTAGAGTAGTGCACAGTAGTGGACTGGTTATATATACATTTAAGCATCTCAAACTTTCATTAGAGTTGGTATTGCACATGTCACACATCAAAATACAATACATACAATGTATGTGTTTGTCATCAGTGGGATTTCATTTTAAATAGCAGCAAACTCTTTCACAGATATGTCAGATGCAAAGTCTGCAGAGAGTTTTGACACCATTGGGTTTACAGGTGTGTGGGCTTTATTTTACATGCAAATGTAGAAAAAAAATCTTTATTTTCTTTTAAATAGAACTAAAAGTTTTGTTAATATTTCAGAACCTGAAGTATCTGATAAAAAATAGTGGTGTATGCAGAGGTGCAGTACCTTAAATCTGAGCTATAACTCGTAGTGATGTTAATGTCTGTAACAATGCAGACAATATATTGATGCAGGTGTTATGACTTTTACTCTTCCCAGATACAGACAAAGGCCTTGAAAGTCATGAGCTCTGGATTCCCAAAGTTATGGTGAATGATAACATACCATCAGGGAGGAAAAAAGGAGTGGGCAAAGACAGTGTGGGGCCAGTGGATGTGAGCAGAAGACTGGTTCAGGACCATGGGAGCAGAGAACCGACTGATCTTGACAGTGAGGAAGGAATGACGGTGGTTGCTCAGGAGGATGGAAATTTGTCAGGAAAACAAGTTATCCGTTTAAGCGGAGACAAAGTGATTGACAGTGCCAGTCAAGGTGCCAATCTCCAAGGAAAGGTGAGGAGAGTTAATGGGTTGATTGGTATGTTGGCCCCAGGCCAAAGCAGAGAAATGCAAGACTGGGACAGTGCGGAGGACAACAATGGCAGACTGCCTGCGGTAGGAAACACCAGAGATACAGATGGTAAGACCAGATTCTACATTATACAAAACAATATACATTGTTCCAAGAATTATGCCCAGAGCGATCAAAGGCTGAACAATTGATCTTAATATTCCCACAGAAACCAGAGAGTATATCAGCTCTGAAACTTATCCAATCGGTAGAATATTTTTTTCTTCCATTAGTCAATATTGTAAATACATTGTTTGATTGCTTTCCTGAAGGCTCTGTCATTTTTTGTGATCCACTTTCTCTTATGTGCTTTAGCCCCCCCCAGAACACAGGCCCAGTAGCTTGTCTGTTCCAGCCAGGAGCCGAGCCTCCTGGTGATCATATAAAGGTCTGTTTCCTCTGCATTTGACTTAGACAAATGATTTCTGCTTGGATTTTTATCCACCTAACCCATCTTAGGAAACAACTCCATGACATATTGTCACCACATTTAAATTCCTTACATTTCATCCTAATCTAATTACAAGATGAGACTACTTCCTAGATCTTGCTTTGTTATTCAAATGTTATGCATGTAATGTTGAATAATAATTGAATAATTGTTTTTTCTACCATTTAGATTCCGTTTCTTCCTCATAATGAGTCAAGGCCTGTCATCTGTTGACTCATAGGAAGCAGACAGACTGCTTCCACATAAAGCTGCTTCTGGGACTTTTTGATCCAAATTTAGATTAGATTATTTAGATATTCATTTTAGTTATGCGATCATGTGGAGAGATATGAGAAACAATTTTGGATTAAATAGCGTAAGTCTCTACTGCGTGATGTTTGGTACAAAAGCTGTAGTATGAGAAATGTCAAAAAAATGAAATTAGAAATGGGCACAACAACTTTTGATGACTTAGGACAGAAATGTGTTGCTTTTATCTAGTACTGAAAGTCTTTGTATGTTCATTGTAATGTGAAAATGTATAAGTAATCCTCTGAAATATAACTATAAAATAAAATAAAATGTAAAAACTGCATATTTTTCATTTCCTTGCTTTGAAAAAATGTAGTTTAATAATAATAAGATAAATACAAATACACATTTTAAGACAGTTTAAGATTTACAAAAAACAAGATTGTGATGCAGCGAACATCACATTCGGCACAACACAGTACTCAGTGAATATAATATACATTTTACATGTAAAAGACACATTTATAAAGCATCTTGTTACCTTTAATTCCACATAAGTATAAGTGGCAAAACAAGATGTGCATAGAGGAGTGTGTGAGTGTTGTGAAAATACAGATGAGACGTTGTTTGGATTTTTATAGCTTTGTTGTTTCATTTCCTAAAGTGCTGAAGCTCACTGTACACATCTGATTGGACTCCATGTAACTCCTATAAAACAGTAAAAGCAATTCATCATGGAAAAACAAATAATATATAATTAAAACCCTAAACAATGTAATCTCCACATTTAGTGTCTTTGAGGCTTCATTGATAATGTAGTTTTACTTTACCTGGTAGGGAGATTCTGTGACCTCTGTTGGCATTTTCTTTGATACTGATGATGGCAGGTTTCTTCTACCTGATAAAAAACATTTACATGTCAAGTTAGTGCTGTATCACCACCCAGCATACTCACAAATAAGCAGAGATGCTGATATATTGAGTGCTCACCATCATGAGAATCCCATTCTCTCCTTCTCTTGTGTTGAGTGGCAAAGCAGAACACAGAAATAGTGATGAAGATGGTCAAAATAATGTCAGAAGCAATAATGGCGATTACAGACTCCATGTTTATCAGGTAACAGGAACCACACTCTGTGAAAGAATGGAGAAATAGGATTGAAACACAAAACCAAAACACAGCTTGGAGAGATTTAATTAGAAAAGTTAGATACCTTGCTGTCCATCTGCAGATCCTGAAAGACAAAGAGTTGATAAAACCTCAGATGATAACAAGAACAGCTGAGAGAGTGCCTACGATAATTTACTATTGTGCAATCAATTAGTACACTGGTAAAAGACCAGCACAAAAGACCAGCACATCACATATAGCACATCACTCACCAAACAACGAACCCACAATACAAAGAGCGTCAGACATCTTCTGTATGTTGGTTTCAGGTCGAGGAGGAAATGTGAGAGAGAGGCTGATGGCCACTGTCCTTCTGATCTTTTTCCAAATGGCTGTGTTGCCGCACATAAACAAGATGATCTGCCACCAGCACTGTCAGGGGTGTGAGGGTTTGTAAGCTTGTGACTGCACTCAGAGGAGGAAGAGGGAGTCCACTGAGAGAAGAGGAAGCTGCTGTTTTTGTTTCTGCTCTGTAATGTCACATTCATGTGAGGGTTGCTGGTGACATACAACCACCCTTATCACTTTTGATCATTAGGATTCAGGGCTTCTTTTTTGACTTTTTAACAGTGTACTGATACTTCAAATGAACTAGTCCAAGTGATGCCAAGATAAGGAGGTGTGTGAGGTCAGTTTCATTACACCTGCAGTTTCTGCTGAAACACATGTGATCATACTCCAGATAGTGCATTTCCTCATGACCTGTGGTTTAGTGCAAGCTTTTGGCCATTGTCGCTGCTACCTAGTCTCTGAGCAACTGGTAAACCACAGGTTTATCTATAATAATGCTGTACTGTCAGCGAAATGAAAACACACCTTCATTGGAGACTTTCATTTTTCATTATGTTCAAACACAACAACAAAAATGGCAATGATAATAATAATGTTTATTGATATAGCAAAGGGAAAACAAGCAAACAAATTTGATAGAAAATACAAAATAAACCAATACATTACATACATTAATTAAACAGAACCATATATAAATATATAACAGCCACAATAATATTAATGATAATGATAATGATAATGATAATGATAATGATAATAATAATCATCATCATCATCATCATCATCATCATCATCATCATCATCATCATCATCATCATCACAATCATAATCATAATCATAATCATAATCATAATCATAATAACAATGATAATTTAAAAAATTTGCCTATTAATCTGTGTGAGTTGTAAGTAATGGCTTTATTATTGGTCAATTAAATATTTAATCGTTCTACACAGATCAGTTATAAACCATGAATAAGAACAACTTCTGGGTTACCAGGTTGTGAAAAATCCCTTCAGCTGGTGTTTATAAAATAAAGCAGAATGCTTAGTTTTTCTTTTTTCTGTTGTTAGTTCATTAGGAATTTTCCTTTGATAGGTTGTTTGACCTCTGACCTTCTGGAAAAGAGCTGGGCTTCTGACAAAATCCATTGTCCACATTCATAACATTTATAATGAACACATGATAACACTTCACAATACAGCCTGCGATTGACAATGTCAATTTGTTTTATGAATGAAATGCTCACTGGTTCTGACTGATATTTAAATGTAGGTAAATAATAAGACCACAGGAAATGAGGAAGTAACTACTGGGTATATTAGAGAAAATGAGAAATAAATCATACCAAGGTCAAACATAGCTAATACTGAATGTTTAATAATGAACCTAGTACCTAGTAATTATCATTTTTTAATCCTTTTAATTACACAGTAAGAATAAGGTATGTGGGCTGTAATATAGTGTGTGGCCCCTTCCCCTCACTTAATTACATAATAAGAAAAATACTGTTAACACCAAATTTGAGTTTTGTTTCCCACTTCTGTACCCTTTAGGGAGCCTATATTTACAAAATGCTTAATAAGAATAAGAATAAGAATAAGAATGATATATAGAATAATTCTATTTTCCTGTCCAGTGGTTACTCGCTTGCTCCCTATAGTCTTGTTTTCATCTGCTGTACATGGATATCATCAGGAACCTGCAAGGTGATTCTTTCAACAGCATTACACTGTTCATCATGGGCTGTATCATAAAGAGCGACCAAAAACATAAAAGATTGTTACAAAACATTTTTGTTAATGACTTATTTACATTTACGTATTATCTTTTGACCTTTTTATTAATAACTTAATTAATGACTCACCAGCCACATTTTTCATAACCTTGTCCCTCAAAAGTTCTTCTTATAAATACCTTACAATTGATATACAAAGAATTAGCTTGGCTTGAAACAGGGACCTTGCAAGCATACAGCAGAGTCTGAAACACACAGGCCACCAGGCGAGAGTTCTGTTGAAAAAATAAATTGCTTACTATCAATTAGAAAAAGTTTGGTGAGGTGAGGTGCAGTTGCTAAATTTCACTGTGCAACAAAGAAAGTCCACATATTATAGCAGCTGAAGAGGAAGAATTCTGAAAAACAAACAAAATCTTTTCACAAGAGAATAAAACCGGTCTCAACTAAATGCTGGTGTCTACTTACAGTATGCAATGGTGATGTCAAAAGCTACCTCTCTGAGTCTCTCTAAGACACCTCTAAGCATTTATGAACTCAAGGGAAATTCTGTATACACAATCTCTCTGCAGCAATTTCCCAATTTTTTTGTGAGAGTAGGAAGGACAGTTTAGCTATTAACCCCATGACTGGCCTATTGAAAAACTCTGCAATAGTTATCTCTACAGGTGTTTCCACTGCATAGACAGACTACCCTGCACCAATAGAGTATGTAGACCAGATTGATCATACAGAGATACTGAATTAGCTTTCGTTGTTTGTGACTGAAAGAGCACACAGCAGTTTAACCACACTATAACCTCAACACACAGTGGGACTTAACACTATCTGTCTTCCATCTAATCAGGTTGCCTGTGTTAGTCACACTGCTCAAATGTCACTTGAGTACAGCATAAAGTTCTGTCTTTTATTCATTTATTTATTTTTTAAATCACTTATATCTATAAAGCTACACACACACAAAATCTTCAGGGCCTGCTGCAGTTTACTTTGCAACCAAAAGTAAACTGCAGTAGATGCTGTGTGGTTTAGTTACAGGGGCAACATGAATAGTATTCAGTTTGATTTTTTTACAAGGTCGGTGGATTTGATTCACACGCATGTTATGTTTCTACTGAACAATGTGATACACTTTTTAATTAATTATAATTATATTATAATAAAATCTGGTTTTTAGCAGATAGCTGAAGAGCACAAGTACACATTGTGACTGAATGTAAAAGATTCTTTACAGAGTTACAGGACACTATTGTAGCTCCATTGCCGTCTATATAATAAAGTGTAGTAATAGTCTAATAACTGTAAAATTAAGCGTTATGTGTTTATTGTATGTGTTATAAACTAAGCAAATTCATATTTAAAGGTCATCACTTGTATTTATATATAAAAACAGAATAAAAACAATTAGTACTCTATAACATTTTGTAATATATGTTGGAGCAGGATCTAAAAATGTGACACAATGTCACAATGTACTGCACCATTGTTAGATTAGCTCTTGCAGTTAGCCCGGACATTCATGTACACTTTGTGAGCTGTGAAGAGATGAGAAGAGACACAGACAGTCACTAAATATACAAAGAACGTTGAGATCAGCAGAGTCATATATAGACCACAATCAACATAAGAAGCAACAGCTTCCGAAATATAAGCTGTACATCATGATAAAACAGGAGAAGGAAAGGCATGAGCAAGTCTGAAAGACCGTTGGGAGACCGGGCAAGGAACCCTGATAAAGTTTTATGAACTCCAATGCATTTTTACTGCATTTACTTTTCAGATATGAAGACTATAATAACATGACTCATTTCAGCCTCACCGTCTTACCATTGTCTATCTTTTGACGCCGAAAACTGGCACAACGGTAAGTGACAATAACAATGATCAGCGTCAACAACACATCTGCACAGATGATGCCTGCTATTGTCCCGGGCTCAATCCTGTAGCAAGATGGACTGGTGTCTGGCACACACAGAAAGACAGTGAACAAACAGTCAAACAGAAAAAAAGAGTGGGATGAAAGAGACAGAGGATGTAACTAAGACACAAGTGGAAAAAATGACTTATCAGATGTGGTTGTAGGTCATAGATTTGTATTTAAGTTGCTTTTTTTTGTCTAAATGATAACATTCATTAAAACAGAATTTCACAGTTATGAGTGTGTGCATCCTCTTTTTGTTGTGCATACCTGTGAGCGCCCCAGTCAGATCTTATAGAAAAAGAGAAGAAACAAACAAGACTCCATCACAGCTCAAACTTGCTATTGATATCATGCAGCAACACCTCTGTCAGTTAAGTTTCCGCCATGCAAAATGTTTGTGGTTTCATTTTCCTGTGTAAGACCACCTTAATGTGTGTGTGTTGAAAAAGAAGTGAAGAAAGCTTTAAAATCATACTTACTGCAAAGAAAAAATAGGACAAAGAGAAAGAACTTGTTGTGCGCCATGTTTGTTAACTCGGTTATGTGCTTTCTGAAAGACAAAAAAAGATCAAACCTTGTCTTGTTTCACAGCCTTCAAAAGTGTTGAAGTTGCATTCACTCAACATGTTAGACTCTCGTATCCTTCAGATTTCATTATATTTGATTTCGGTGTGATAGTTATCTGGGAAAAGTCTGAGTCAGTTCGAGACAGTTAAGGCTGACAATGTTTTTTTATCTGCAGCAATGAATACACAACTTTGGTGTCACAATGAGTAACAAGTTACTGAGTGGGCATTTGACAAAAAGATGAAAAGAGAAAACAAATTGTTAAAGGATTTCTCTTAAAACATTAAAACTTTGTTATAAATCATCTGCATTTCATGTGACAAATTCTGTAATCACAGTCGTACTAACCTTTAAGAAGTTCACAAAACTTTCCCCTAGATATTCTGGTTGTATATCTTAAATCTAAAACTACAGATATTAAATGGTTAAAAGTTAAGAGTTAAGATCCTCATACCTGCTCTGCACGGACTGATCTGCTGTCTGGAATCCAAACGATGATGTGACTCTAGTTTCCCATTAGTTTTCACTTTTGAGGGCTGACGTCAAATTTTCTTCCGTCCTCTGATGAGATGAATCACTGCCTATTTGTTTTTGTACAAACTCCACACGGGTTGGCAATTTCGTGACCACAGAGTTTTTCAGCCTGATTGCTGATGGTTTAACTGTGACGGAGAAGTTACACATTATAGTAGAAAAGAGAAGAATATACTTTTAATGTCCAAGTGTAGAAGGTTGTTTTGGACTTTTCACTGCAGTTTCAAAATAACAAAAAGATAATACAATTCACAGGCATACAACATTAGAAAAAGACAATGGAAAAATATGTTACGTACATATATTCAGCACTGCACACAACCACACATATATAAACCACTTACCTCTATACGTTTAAAATACCCACACATCTAGGTACAAAAAATATCTGGCTTTGTTCTCTAACTCAAGTAACTTTATATAGAAGTTGAAACTCACAGTGGAGAACATGAGCTGCATCTTCTTCAGGGCCTGTTTACTGAGACGGGGTTCATGGATCATCTACAGTCTCCTACAGTTAGAGATGTGTGAGAAAGTGTGTGGGTTGTTGAAATGCTACCCTCCTGCTAATACTGTGACTCTGCTGACTCTTAGTGGCCAAGTACCATCAACAGCAAACTTCTGTTCTACTTGATACACAGATACACTCATAATGACATACAAGGATTTGTGCTTTTATTGGACAAAGTTTCAAACAACCATTTTGGCTCATAATCGCTCGTCCTCAGAATTCCCTCCACTAGCCAGTCTTCTTGTCAAATTTACAGCATGAGAGTCCTCAAGCTTGTGTATTTATGATTTATCTGGTAGTTGCAGAGTTTAACTTAGAGACGGTACTGTTTACATTATCAGTGTGGTTTGTCTGCAGTTTCATTTTAGGTCAGCAGTGGCTTGCCTTTGACTTAGATTGATTTTGACTCTTTGCAACAGCAGAGGGAGCTGTGACACTTCTTTACGGACACAATTCAACAGCACAAACTGATTCCTTTGAAACTGAAAATCTCTTAATTGTATGCAGGATTCACAAACTATTGCTCCTTCTAATATTCCTGCTTTTTCAAAGTTCACTTCTTTCTATGGGATGAAACTGACTTCCTACAGACAAAAAGGCATCAAGGTCCTGTCTCATTCAAAATAATGCAGACTAGACTGGGGACAAGTTTAACAGATAGTCAAATAGTCTTTAATAACAGATAGCTACCATAATCATGCATTGGCCATGCCTCAGAACCTAAACACTTCAACATCCACGCAGAGACAAACAATATTATAGACGTGTATATAAACTTTGAAAATACTATTACTAGTAATAACAATCATCATCATCATAATGCCATCACTCAAATTAATCTTTGATTTGCGTGTTTTGTCTCTTTTTTTGGCAAATGAATTAAGCTGTAATATGAGCGTAGGGAGGTGGAGGGTTTGTAACCATAACACAAAACAAACAGAACAATTCTACTTCATGGAAAGTGAAAGGGCAACCAGATTAACTGATTAACAAAAGATCCACAAGGGCTAACATCTGGCATCATGATATTATATATATATCATATATGTATTATTAACACAATATCAATATTTCATTTTTTAAATATCACAGTTGTTGTCAACACCGGTACATAGTAACAACCCTAGTTCAAAGCAAGAGTGAAACTTTCTCAGTTCTTTAAAAAGCAGCCATTTCTTACCTTTAACTACATATGGGTTTGGAAAAATAGAAACTGGCAAGTATCCTATAGTACAGTTTTGTCTTATACAATACATATGCAGTACATAACCTGATCCCCATACTGTGACACACAGACACTTTGATTCTTCCTTTGTTTCTTTATTACTTTATTTGATTTAGTTTATTTGTTTCTTTTTCTTTCAGCAAATACAAAAAAACTTCTATAAAGAAAGGAGGTATGAGATTTAAAGATTTGGTTATTTAAAATTCAACTTATGTGTATATGTTAGTCATGCTTTTAAGTTGTTTTCTTTAGATTCCCATGGTCCTCTTGCCATTTATCAGCTGTTTGTTCAGGTCTAAGACCAACAAGCAAGCAGCTTTGAGTGTCCATGTTTTCATCTTTAAAAGAAACTGAGAACCTGAGGCCAGCAGAGTCAAGGTTTTCACCAAAATTAAATTGAATAATTAAATCTTAGATCACACTATTTCACCTTTCACATACTGTAATATTTAGTGTAATTTATTTTTTGGTGATCAAATGTTCTTTCATTTACCCTTTAATTCATTAGTCTTTGATTCTTTAAAGCTGTTTTTTATGCCATTAGCCTATTATTCTCCCCCTTTTTTCTTCATCTCTCCATACTGTTTTATGAAAAAAAGTGTTTATGGAACAAAGACACACAAAAATGTTAGTCATTTGGTAAAAAGAGAGTTATCACTGTGTTCCTTCCAATATGATGTCTTGTTGTTTTTGAGATGACACATATGTTCCTGTAAGGCACTGTCTACACTGGGTACTAAAAAGAAATTACACTTTATTAAACAAACAATCTACAGGACAAAAGAGACAAAGACAAAAAGAAAAATCAAAACACAGGAGAAGAACCTGCTCTTACTCTCATATTGATTGTTATTTATGGCATAACATCTCTCCTCAAGTTTTCTACGGGATTTGCATGATTTAAAATATTATGATTAGTTAATAAGTCTAAAATGCTAACATTATACTCATTACATCAAAGTTTTCAATGAAAATATGTAAATAAATAAATATAAAGTAAATGTCCTTTGAATTTTTTTAACTTTATTTTAATGCTGTAGTGTTTAGCATTCTGTTGTTGTTTTAGTCTTATCTCCACTGTTGTTTTGTATTACCTAAACTGATATATGAAACTGTATTGAAGAGATTAATTAATTTAATGTCACTTAATATTACAACCCACTGAACACATTTAGTGCATGCTGACTCACTGAAGCTCAATGTACTTAAGTACAATTAAGCTTAAAATGACAGATTAATATTTAACACATAAAACACAAGATCATCCAATCGAATTTACATTACTTGATATTAAACTACCAAACAATTAATTAGTTGAAATTTGTTATAATTACTTCAACTTCAACCAGCATTAGTGAAATATCCAATATTATAGTAGAAGTCTGCATAATAGGCACTTTTACTTATGTTTAGTGCTTAAATAAGTTTTTCTACTTCTAATTAAATAACACTTAGAATGCAGGGCTTTTACTTGTAATTACACATTTTTATATTGTGGTGTTTCTACTTTTACTAAAATGATCTGAATACTTCTTCCTCCACTGCCCCTAATCACAGTGTGCTTTTGTGTTTATTTGTATACTTGTAATAATTGTTTTCTAATAGCTGTTTATCTCTCTTCTTCCTCACCTTCTGTTCAATTCTGTTTAATTCTATTACCCTGCTTTGACATGATGTGTGCTTCCCCTCTGCTTGAGGGCGTGGACCACAGCTGGGGGCGGTGATGAGGAACAACGTGTGCTCTGTGTGTACAAGCAGCAGAAGTAAGACAACAAGCCAGACAGACTGCGGGCTACCAGAACGTCACAGAACACCACTGATCCCTCCGGCTGTGTGAATCAGTTTATCCCGTTTTGACCAGATTAGAGGCTCAGAGGACGACCTGTTGAAGACTTCAAAGCAAAAACCGGTTCTGACATGCACTTTGATAAATGTGAGTATGTGTGCTTTTATTTTGTTAATTATGGCAGAAGACAAGCCTTATCGCTGGTATCTTATATTTTCATTGAGCCCAGCTTTATAGTCTAATGTTAAATGGTGTGACAGTAGGGTAATGATGACAGCTCAAACTAATACTTTTTTAAGGTACTGCAGTTATGGACAATATAGAGAGCTGTACTTGTTTTCAACTTGTATTCATTAATGGGTACTTATCTTAGTGGCAGCATTATAATGAAAACCTGGATTTAGATTTTATTTACATTACACTCCCATTTCTTCATGTGAAACATAGTTGATTTTTTAATTTTTTTAATTTTGACTTTGTTTGGAACTTTGGATCCTAAATCGGACTGAAATTCCCTCATGTGTTTTAAATAATTTATTTCATATAACACATGTATATATCTTGGATTAAAAACCGCTCCACTGATAGTGTGTAAGAACTATCCAGTCAGTCATTTTACTGATGCGTTCATGTACTCGTCTTTCTCTCGGTTTTCACTGAATGAAAGCACAATTCGGGTGAATCCAAGAGTCACATATCACTTGGGGAAACCCTGATACACCCCCACCCCTTCAGGCTTGTTTTCATTTCCCCTTTTGAATAATGCCAGACAAGCAAGCTGTGTGACGTGACACCTCAACTTGCTTCGCTTAACTTTCTTTGTTCATGCCTCCTTTGACACAGGCCCAAGTTATTACATATTCTGTTGTGTGCGCTGGGTCTGTTAAACCACAAAATGAGGAAGCTGGTTCTCCACTGCTTCTTTCTTTCTCTGAGGACTGAGCCAAAAGAGAAAGGTTGTCGGAATCCCCAGCCTCCCACGCACATGACTCAATGTCCAGGGGTTTCCACAACCCCTATTTGAATATGGCACAGAATAGCCCAAGACAGTGTGGGGACAGCTAGTGTAAACCCATAATTTATGTGCATGTGGGCTGGGTTGTCCTCTTACTCTTGGACAAGTGATTAAAAGCTATTTCCTGATCTCTAGTTTTTCTCAGCTGATGTGTCAGACCAATCTGTTAAAGTGTTGAGCAACTCCTAACATCGGGCAATTTACTCAGCTACTGTCTGATATCGATTGTGAAGTAACATGTTGCGGAATTAGATCATCTGCGAAAAGGCCAAAGGTGGCTTTTTCTTTTTCATAAAGATCAAATGAGTCAGGATTGAGTAACATATAGTAACACCTTAGCAAGTTGAAAATGAAACTTGCTGGCAGTAAATGTTCTCACTGATGTCATTTACTCTGACAAATTGACATTTATTGTGTGGTGGGGGCACAAGGGTTTTCAGCTGAGAGTAAGATCATTGCTTTTGAGAAGAGAGACTAACCACCAGAAATCTAAACAGACACATCCATGAACTCATATTTTTCTCTCACTGTTTGAATTTGTATTTTTTTTTCTTTCAGAATTACGCCCTCTTTGTATTTGCTCTGGTGAACAGAGCTGTATTGTCCCTGTGTGGCTTACCACACCTTTCAACATTCACAGAGTAAAACGAAAGAGAGAAGTGACAAGAGAACATGTCACTCTTCTTCTGCTCTGCCTCCCAGACATGTAGGTGCAATAGAAAGCACAAGGCAAATACACGTGTTGGTGTGACGTGCCTATGAAACACCAGAGGCAGGAGGATGTGGTTTTCGTTTCTGTCAGCGTAACGGAGCGAGACAGGAAGATGTCACAGAAAATAAGCAGTGGTAATCCCATGCTAAAGGTTTTCTGATGAATCTGTCTGGTTTGCATTGCCACATGCAAGATCTGTGTTCCTAATGGAGGAGGTTGTTGTCAGAGCTTTATCTTTGTACTACGGTTCCACAGACAGGGTGGAAATATCACTTTATCTTTCACCTGTGGGGTGAAGTTTTTGAGGAAACAGCTCTGTGTGGTCACATCATGTCAACTGGAAACATCAGAATTCTGTTTTGTAATATTTTTTTCCTATTTTTCTCATTTCCTTTACCTGTTCAATGGAAATGATACTTTCATATGAGGGGGGGTGGGGGGGATGTACTCATAGTATAATGGATTTGATATTGATGTTTGAAGGTGAGCAGAAAAATGCCACCATGGAGAAACTGAGCAGGCAGCAACATCCAGTTGATAACAACTGTAGTGTTACTATCACAATAAAAGGATTAGTTCAGACCTGCATTACATGAAATCAATCTTTTGATTTTGATTTGAAGTTTGCAGCATGATTTATATTTTGTGTTGCTATGGTCTCACACTTTTCAGCCAACATTTGCAGTCTAGCATTTAAAGCCCCTCTTGATGAGATGAAAATACATATTCTAGTGGAAGTAAATAAGAAACTCAGAGACACAAAGAGGCTATTCATAATCTAAATGATGGTACTACAGAGAAAGAGCTCACTGAGCTGTGAAAGCTCCAAGTCTGTCTACAAATCATTAAAAGCTTTTGTCTTTTCATATAATCAGTTTTCTGGGGAATAGCTTTATTGTTCTGACTGGACAAACAAGTTTGTGATTTTTGTTATAGGATGAGGGAGCTGAAACAATTAGTCTTTTCACAGATTAACTGAATGACTGAACTGAAAAGTAATCAGCAACTTTTGTAAAATAGATTATTTGTTTTTCAATCAAAAACACCAAACATTCTCTAGTTCCAGCTTCTCAAATGTAAGATATCTAAAGACATCACTTTGGGCTCTTGGAAATTGTGATGAGCATTTCTGTCTATTTTCTTACATACAACAGATAAATGGATAATAAAAAAAGGCCCCTGATCACAGATATTGATCAAATACAAACAAGACACATGACCAAATGTCATTCTTTCAGCGCCAAAGGAGAAGCCGTGTTGCACTCTGCCCACAGTGAAGAAACTCTTGGAGGAGAAGCGAAGGCGTGAGACGTCCTCTACAGCGAGCACAAGTCCTGTTCCTCCGAATACCGTTACAGTAAGCCATCACACGGAGGGGCTCAGTATCTTACGAAATATTATATCATAAAGATGTGATTGTTTATGATTTCTTCTGGTTTCTTTTCCCCAGCAGTTGTCCTCATCAGAACTGTTTACCTGTTCAGGTAAGACCTGGGCAGCTTCTGCACAACACTTAAAGGATATGTCTAGTGATATTCTATTTTTTAATTTTTTTTTTACTGTGAACAATTCACATAAAAAGACCAAAACTAACAACAAATTTATCTCAACATGTGTAGTGAGAATTCTATAAGAATTTGCAGAGATACACATATTATGTCCATCAGACTCTGAGCTTCAGCACATTTAGTTTGAAATGAAATAACAGACATTACATTAATGTCTCATGGTCTTAATTTGAATAGGTCTACATCAGTTTATAAAGAACTGTGAAGAAAACCAAAAGTATCATTGTTGATATTGTATGGAAAATCCTGAAGTCTTCAATCAATAGATGTCGTCATTCTCTTTGTATCGTCCCTGAAGATGCTCTCTCAGAGCTTCACTGCAGCCACCTTCAGCTCTTGCTTGTTGCGGGGTCTCTCTGTCTTTAGTCCAGTCTTCAGCAAGTGGACTGCAGCTCAGTTAGGTTGAGATCAGGTGACTGACTTGCTCATTCGAAGATATTCCACCTCTTCACACTGAAAAGCTGCGGTTGCTTTGGCCGTATGTTTAGGATCATTGTCCTGCTGAGTGATGAAATGTGGTTCACTGAGTTCTGACGCACTGATGACTGATTGTGGGCACAGAATGCTCCTGTATACTTTTGCATTCATCCTGTTGCTTCTGCTGCTTTGTCAGCAGTGAATTCATCAATAAATGCCAGTGTGTCACTTCCATAACAGAACCAGCACCATGTTTGACAGATGAAGTGGTCGCTTTGGTCATTAGCTGTTCCTTTCTTTCTCCTCCATTACATCCATCCATTTTGATAGAAGTTGATTTTAGTTTTTTTCTGTCCATAGACATTTGCTCCAGAGCTCTTTCTTTTCTTCTTTTTGTATGTTTTTGTGAACTGCAGTCTGATCTTTCTGTTTTGGAGGCGAGGGGTTTGCATCTTGTGGTGATGCTCTCTGAGGCTCTGGTCATGAAGTCTTCTCTAAGAAACATGTCCACCTACATCCTGTACAGATCTCTTGACTTACTGTACAGTCATAAAGGCGTTTTTCTGTACCATGTAAATGTTCCTGGTCATTCACAAGACCTGTGCTTCAGTCCACCAGCTTGTTTGCCATTTTCTAGTTTTCCTGGGACAACCTGCTTTTTTAGAAGCAGGTCTCCAACTGCTGATTTTTAGAAAACCAACTAACTTTAACATCTCCCTGATGGATTTTTGAGCCTCATTATTGTCTTCTTCACTTGCATAGTCACGTCTTTACTCCTCATATTGACAGACAACTCCACCTCACACTCTAAATGGAAGCTCTCAACTCTCAGTCAACTCTGAGCCACTGACTTTGTGCTTGAACAGCTTAAGCTTAAGCAGCCAAGTGTCCAATTATTTTCAAAACCTAGAACTTATAGGCACTATGTGTTAAAATGGCTATATATAGAACAGAAACTCCAGCTTCGTCCTTGTAATTATTTGATCCTGATCATAAGATAATTCTGAACAGACTATAAATATTACTGCATGAGTCATCAGTGATGAGTGACAGTCTGCTCTCTCCTAGGTGCATCAAGCAGCTACTCAGACATGGCAGTGAGCTATGAGCAGTGGACCCCAGCACCAGAGCCTACGCTCAGTTACTACACCGGCCATCCAGGATCCAGCTATGCAGCCTACAGCCTCCCAGTACCATCTGAATATGGCACACAGCAGCAGGTCCCAGTATTTGGAGATGCGTTGTCTCAGACATATGTAAGAGAACTCCCTTTGTTACAGACTTTCAACGGACATGTTTTACCTTTCTGTAAGTGCATAATTGCACTTTAGTGTTGTCGGCTAAATCATATCCTCCATCCTTTTTTTTTTTAGCAGGAGTGCCCGATGACAGTCGCAGATCCCAGTATGGCTTCACCTTGGCCACTTCTGGGTCCCAGTCAGGCCACACAGCTGAGTTTTGGTTCGTCGATGGATGCCAACAAACTGGAAGAGGCCAGGATGCTGCTCAGCGGGATGGATTACACCAGAGCCACCGGGCAGGATGAAGACGGAGACACGTGAGTGCTTACAAGTGAATGCATGTGTGTGAGTATGTGGGTTTAAGTGCATCTGTTGGTGAGACACAAGAACAATAAGGCAACTATGGGCCTTCTCATTCTTCTTTGAGATCATAGATCGAAAGATTACAATGATAGTGCACACACACACACACATCGCACACTACTCTGAACCTTTAGCTATTCAGCATATTTTGTGAAAGAGGAGTCAGAACAATACACATTTTCTCCATCACTGATATTACTGTGTTGTGTGAATGCGCCTATGTAAGCGCAAAATTTATTTACTTCCGTATGAGTTTCATTTTCAGTCGTAAGCTAAAAGTGAGAGCCACATGCGCAGTGTGGTTATCCTAGAAAGATTTTTTTTTAAAATGACAATGAGTCAGCCACTCATGCTCGATGATTAGAAACTCAGATAAAATGGAAAAGAAACAAATTCAACTGTGGTAGGGACGAGTGTGAAATTGGTTGTGGGGATTACTGCGATTTTCCAGCCTCATTTATAACTAATTCATTATGTGCTCTTGTCCTGTCAGCATCCTGCACATCTACACTGCCAAGGGACTCAGGGAGTGTGCCTTTGCTGCTGCAGAGACACTGAGGGGTTTAGGGAGGCTTGATGCCAAAGAGCACAAGGGAAAGGTATGAAAAAAAACACACATCTTCCAAAGTGTGCAAATTGCTCTTTTTGGCAAAAGTCTATATATATTTTAATTTATCACAGACGGATAAAATTGTATAACAAATGTGCTTTTGCAGACTGCTTTACTGGTGGCAGTGACGGCAAACCAGCCGGAGATTGTACAAGATCTGCTGTCGTTAGGAACAGACATCAATGCTTGTGATGTTAAAGGACAAACTGCCCTTCATCTGGCTGCCCACTATGGCTTCCCTGGGGTTCTGCAGGTAAAGTATCAGTAGGACTGACTTACTTTGGCATGACCATCACAGCAGCTTAGAAAACTTAGTTATATTGTGCAGACCTTAACAACACACCTTTTTTTTTGTTTTTTTTTTTGTAGGCAATTCTGTCTAACAGACCTGCTGTCAACCTGGAGGCCCGCAACTTTGAAGGTAATTTAATGTTTTACTAGTTACTAATGGTTAACCAACAGGTAAGTTGTGTTAACATAGCCGCAAATGTTAAATGCGTCTTCTTCTTTGCCTCAGGTATGACTCCATTGCACTGTGCGGCCATTTCTCACAGCGTGACCATGAAGGCTTTGCTTTCCAGTGGGATGGCAGATGTTAGCCTTCAAACCAAAGCAGCAGAGAAGCTCTCCTGTGTGCAGATGCTGCTCAATGCCGGGGCAACCCTGCTCAGCCAGGTACAGCACAGCTTTCCCTTTTCTGAATGTCACATGAGTTGTCTCGCCGTCATAGAGAGGAACAGATGAAAGGATGGGCAGATCACAGAAGCATCAAAGTCCAATATGCTAAACACTGACCTTTTTAGTGAATCTACAGGTCACAGGGGAAGTGCCCAGGTTTTTATCTAACCATGATGATGTCATAGTGGGAGCCGCCCTCAACCCGCCCAACAGCCTGCACTCTCTCTTTTGTCTTGTCTTTCTTTTTTGACACTATATCTCGGTTTGACTTGTGGTTTCATTATGTTATGTTTTATCACTTCCAATTCTCCTATTCCAGGAAATCAAAAGTAACAAGACTGTGCTGCACTTGGCTGTAAAGGAGGGGAACATTGATCTAGTGCGTTATCTGCTGAGGATTCCCCTGCCCAACATGAAAGACTTTGTCAACATGAAAGTGAGTTCCACACTGACATGAAACTCAGAAGTGGATTTTATATCTGCATGTGTTTGTGTGTTTATGTGTATGTGCCAATAAATACTGGATACATACATGACTGTAAACAATCTGAGTCATGCTGCATTTTCTAACTTTTGCTATAGGCTCATGGCCACACAGCTTTACACATGGCAGCCGGTCTCCATGGCAACCCCCACCAGGAGGAGATCCTGCGGCTGCTGCTGAGCAGGGGTGCTGATCCCAGTATCCGCAACCTGGAGAACGACCAGCCAGCTCACCTGCTGCAGAGCGGTCTCCAGGGAGAGCAGGTGAGCTGCCCATCATTTTAACAGCCAGCCACTTTCGCACTGTGTAGTCCTGTTGTTTCTGTTTTTATCAAGACTAATTAATTATCATCTTAATTCATCTTTCCATTTCTAGCTCAAGCTGATGCTGAAGAAACGAAACGCTTCCTCTCGACGACGTAATATGTCCTTGCAGGACCAGGAATGAATTAAATCACTTGTAATCCCCATTTGGAGGGAATGAGTCTTTAAGACGTTTCCTCTGTTGAGAAGGGGAATATCCAGTTTATTCTTATCAGGTTCTGGGAGTCTCTGGCCTATATATTGTTAACAAACTAGTTTGGCAAATTAATCTCTAGATATAATTCACATTGGATTAGACAAATGATGCTTCAATGCGTAAAGCTTAAATTAGTTGTGATTTCATGTCTGTAGAAATCAACTGCTTTATTTATTTTTCTACACTCGAGCTCAAGTATTCATGTGGAGGGGAAACATTTCATTCCAAAATGTGATATCCTCCATCGAGCCTTCGCACAAATTGCTCCTGCTGTTGTTGACAAGACAGTGTTAAAATTTTAATTTATGTATTTATTTTTGTCAAAATGGGGTATTTAACATTTTGAAATGAAATCTTATAAATGGACAGAAATGAAGAGCATTAGTTCTCTTCAAAGAGTAGAATGTATAAGCGGTGCTGTGGAAGGTGGAGTAATATTAATTTTCCGTTGAGGCTACACTCCCAGTTTTATGTTGATTTCTATGAAATCGTCAGTATGGACCTCAGGACAATGTCCCTGAAACCCCCCTGACTCTCTTGTCAAAACCCCCCATCATGATAAGTTATCATATTGATACACTGAGTGATGGTTTTGATTTCAGTCAGCATGTGTGCTTATGTTAAGAATGCGTGTGTTAAAAAAAAAAGCAAAGGATAATTAATCATATAATTTAACTGTCTGTCTGTATGCATCATACTTACGTGTTTAACCTTTGGTATCTATTTTCTTTATGGAAAAAGAAACTTTACTGTGTAAAACTGTTATGTATTTGAAACTGAATGAACAAAGAATGTGCTTTCTTATCACAAAGACATTACATGAGTAAGTGTGCTGACAAATCGTTTGACTAACTGTACATTTTGATCATGAGTCATGAAGTACAAAAGTACAATAACACTGTATTTAAAGTTCCATCTGATTTTTTTTAATGTTCAGGGCACCTTCTGAACAGTCCCAAGTACACCTGGCTACAGAAATTAGCAGGATGGAAAATACACCAGCCTGCCATTTCTACAGCAGTTATGTACCCTCACACTGAAGGAGTATTTATTTTTCATGCTCCATTACCACCGACCTTTACTGCCATGACAATGAACCTTAGTCATAGGTGAAATGAGGTTTGCCTTTGACTGTAGTTTGAATGATAAATAAGGTTAGAACTGGCTCTCACCTCTGTGTCATGTCTGTTATTGGACATTTAGTGAATTCCTGTAAAGCAGAAAAGAAATCAGTCTCTTGAGTAAACAATATTATGATATCTTCTACATGTCCCCCACTTAAGAATAATTTCAAGCAATAAAATCATGTTGAATAGACAAGACCTTTATTTGAAACAGTGGCCTCATTGTTTCGGTTTTACAGGTGATCATTTCATTTTTAATACCTTTGCCTTAACTTAAAATAGCACAAACTGCTAATAATATAACACACTTCAATACACAATGATTTATCCATCATACTTCTAGAAGCATTTTCAAAGTGCGATATATTACTTAACATTGTCTTCTTGTTTTCATTAAGATATTATTATTATTATGGTGGCTGCATCATTTTAGCATTTTTATTTTATAGGAGATTCTGTTTGGTCGATTCTATCCATCGGTTCCTTTGTTATGTTTTCATGCTGATTTTTATTGCTTTTTTTTCTTTAAAAGGCAATAAAGCAAATACCAACAGAAATAAAAAAAATGGTAAAAGACAAGTGTTACAATTTATTAATGCATGCAGTTGATTGATACAAAATGGTCAAGTCTATATGTAATCATGCTCTTCATTTTATTGTTTTACGAGAGTACAATGTAAAGAAGAGAGACAGCCACTGTTGTATTTGTCTTATTAAATGTGCCTAATCAAGTCTCATGGTTGGAGTATTTATTCTATATGTATGTCTTTAATTATTCATTTTGTCTCATACAATACTGAGACTCTAAAGATAGATGTTTTTCACACTAAGGACTTTCTACAGAATTCAGTGGGAGACTCAATAAAACCAGGTTAGGGTGTGATGGAAAACCCTGTTTATTGATCATCCAGCCGACAGAGGTATATTATCCATAAGAGGAATGGCCATAAACAACCGGTGTGTGTCCGTGTGTGTGTTTGTTGGCGTGGCTCCCGTGATGACTTCCTCTCTCTCTTTCAAGTATATACTATATTTTCTATACAGTTTGAGGAGGAACTGCAAAAGAAAAAGACATGAATCAGAGAAAGAAAAATGACAATACTGCATTTTAAGAAAATAATGACCTGAAACAATTCCCTCCAGTCAAGTGAACTTACCCTCTGTTTTTGGTATTTGGGTACCAGATGAGCTGGAACTGCAAACAGAAATAGAGGAAGGAAATTAGTAGATATATATATATATATATATATATTTTTTTTTTTTTAATAAATCAAGATGATTGTTTTTNAGAGTACAATGTAAAGAAGAGAGACAGCCACTGTTGTATTTGTCTTATTAAATGTGCCTAATCAAGTCTCATGGTTGGAGTATTTATTCTATATGTATGTCTTTAATTATTCATTTTGTCTCATACAATACTGAGACTCTAAAGATAGATGTTTTTCACACTAAGGACTTTCTACAGAATTCAGTGGGAGACTCAATAAAACCAGGTTAGGGTGTGATGGAAAACCCTGTTTATTGATCATCCAGCCGACAGAGGTATATTATCCATAAGAGGAATGGCCATAAACAACCGGTGTGTGTCCGTGTGTGTGTTTGTTGGCGTGGCTCCCGTGATGACTTCCTCTCTCTCTTTCAAGTATATACTATATTTTCTATACAGTTTGAGGAGGAACTGCAAAAGAAAAAGACATGAATCAGAGAAAGAAAAATGACAATACTGCATTTTAAGAAAATAATGACCTGAAACAATTCCCTCCAGTCAAGTGAACTTACCCTCTGTTTTTGGTATTTGGGTACCAGATGAGCTGGAACTGCAAACAGAAATAGAGGAAGGAAATTAGTAGATATATATATATATATATATATATATTTTTTTTTTTTTAATTAATCAAGATGACTGATTATCAACTACTGATTGTGCAGTTTGAAAACTGTGGCCACAACTTCTACTTGGGGTTGCATTTAATCAAGTGTATCCATTATCAGGATTTCAAGATTCAAAAACAGTTGAGGCCACAGAGTTCTGAGTGAATTGAGAAATAACTGTAGACCAATATGCAGACTTTTTTTTGTCCTGTTCAAACAGCAGCTCTTGTCTTTCTTCTTGTCTGGCCATACAAGCGGCATGCGATTAGCTGAGAATATACACTGCCCACTCACTACCAACACATGAGGAGTGTGACGCATACATTTCAAGAACAAGCACGGAGTTTAAGAAAATATCAAAGCTCTACCCACATGTGATTAGTCACGCATGGTTCTGTGTAAACTCTTTTATGTGTTGGAAGTGTGTTTTGGGTTGTGTATGCAGAAAAGGGAGGGGGGGAGGGGGTTTTAAGAGAAGAGGCATCCAGGACAGGGATAGGAAAAGCTGTGGGAAACTCGTTTTTAGTCAAAGAACAATACTGAAAAAAAGATATTTTTCCACACTGGTTGGGTTTCTCCTTCAAGTCAAGTTCATTCAGCATGCACAGGCGGGTCATCCACTGAGCCTTGCACAAGTCTTACTTGGACGAGGATTTTACACATTTTGTGAATTTTTTACCTGTTTGAGGAATGATAGATGAGTTAGAAAGGTAGAATTGCTTATGTATACTTGATAAAGCCTCTGTATTGAAGGGATATTCAAAAGAAAGTCTATACTCACTCAGGGCTATTAAAATGCCAGAGACAAACATAATAACAGCAAGGATAACCCCTGTGGTCCGCAATGTGTCATAATCTGAACAAGACAAAACCATATGGGACTTTACAACACAAGCCCACAGAAGCTAAACATGCTGTAATCAAAAGACCGATATGCAATATGTTAAACATTGATTAATGGGATCAGTAAATGGTGTAAATCTTACCATAATCAAAATCACTTCGGTCCGGAAACATTGATTCTGCAAAAGAAAAGAGTCTGATCAGTTATGGAGCAAATAGAAATAAAGATGTTCATTTCAGCACAAAGGACAGCGATTAACTTGAAGGGTGTGTTTATATTGCAGCACAATTGACGACAAGCTTTGCAGCTCTCTAGATCTGCAGGCTTGGCTCCACAACTCCTCAGGAGTATTTTTTTTCCCCCCACTGCGAGGCGCTCAATGCAGCATCTTTGCTCAGCAGAAAAAGATGCACCAAGAAAAGTGGGTTACAAGCCAGCAGCAGCAGGATACAGGGATCTCTTCACAGCAGTAAAGGAGGGAGCATAAACAGTAAAAAAAAAAAAAGGGTGCAGGGTGATGTTGGAGTTTAAAGTGTCACCTGAAATGACAGCTGTGTTTAAGCAATTTTTAATGCAAGATAACACTGTTATTAAAGATTTCTACACTAAGATAATATACCAATCTATTTAGCAAATATAAGTGTGTTGCCAACTATGGCCTGTGCCAAACTGTTAGAATATCTGGACATCAATAATGCGGCTTGCATGTTGCTGAACCCTCAATCCCAAGTGGCTGAGCTGGCAGTTTTTATTTCTTTCCTCAGTTTTCCCTCTGCAACAATGATTGCTTTGTTTTACAGAAACAAGACTTAAATATCTTTAATACTGTTCATTTGTTCATTCCAGGGAAGAGTCTCCTGAACTCCCTTTGTTTTAACATTGATGCATGCATCAGCAGTAAATTGGCTTCTTGGCACAATAGCAACAATACTGCAGTGTAATTAACTACAGAGACAATATGGAAATAAAACAATTCATTCAATTAATCTAAATTAAATTATCACACATATATTAACCAAACAAGCTCAGACAATCTGTAGAGCTTAACTATTTAATGTTCTCTTATGTTACACCCTTTAAAAGCCTACAAAAAAGGAAAGATCAATCAAACCTGTGGTGGCCATGGCTTCTCAGCAGAGATGTAGAAGAGCTCCGTCTCCCAGAGATTTAGCGGGTTGCTTGGTTGCAGCTGAAGAGTGGATATGAAAGGAGAAAGCTGGCAGGGGGAGATGCTCAGTGAACCCTCAATGTAAACTCAGCAGGATCCCTCTGGTGGCCACAGTGAAATATTGCATCCACAGTGGTGCAACCCGGGGTACTCCCCATAGTAACAATCCTGCCAGGCTGTGGACTGTTACAGAGCTTCACCACATTTGATAAAATAAATAGTTGGTCAAACAGCTAATGTTATCTTACCACAAAGTAGACAAGATACCTGAACTATCAGCAATGATCTGTGAACTATAGTCTTGTGTGGGCTGTGTGAGTGTGGAGGGAATTGTTACTGTAAGGGTGAAAAAGAAGATATTCTATAATCTGTCTGTGCATTGTGTATTTGGCTCCACTATTCTTTCAATTTTCTTACTTCTAATGCTTCACTTTTTCTTTTGTCTGGAGAAATGTGTGTGTGCATGCTCAAAATGCACCAGTCTCCATCTCATGTGTTGCCTTCTGTGCAGTGCAGTCAGCCTGCTCCCTGCAACTCCAGGGAGAAAATACAGCCTACACATGCAGCTTCTACCTGCGCAGAGGCTGCCAGGCTCGCTACAGTGGAAAATCTGCCAATAAACAGCGCTGAACACAGAGACAGTTCAAATTAAGAGGACTGTTGAGAGCCTTCTCCAAGAGCTGCACGATGCAGCGCATAAATCATTCACACTCTCACTGCTGGTAGTTACTACTGCATGTGTAACCAAACTGTCTGCAGTGTCAGCAGAAGCAGGAGTGCAGCACAGTGCAAGGCTATCTTCACTGGTCCACCTCCAATGGCAGAGAAAATCAACAAATGATGCGTTACAAAAAAAAAAAAAAAAGAAAAAAAGATTTTTTCGATTTTCAAACTGTTGTTTTATTTTTTTGCATCAGTTTGGAAGTCACAAAAATACAAATGATAATCACACTATTGCTACCATATAATAAAGTTGGTACATTATCTAGTAACCATTATTTGTGACACAAATATTAAAAAGAAAACACAAAGGTGCATAGTAACACTGTGACATTAAAAGAAGCTTCATGTGTTCATGGAAAGATTGTCCTCAGCTGTGATCAAGGTATTTGCTGCCACCTAACAGTCAGTAACAGTGTGGAAAAGAGGCAGAAGATTAAAACAATCTCCTGCGGCTTCCTTTTTGCAGAAAATATATTTGCAGATGTTTGACAGATGTAATACACTTACCAGATCTCCACTCCTCCTTGCCTCTGTGTCTACTAAGCTGTAGAGAGAGTTTCACATTATTGTTTTGTGAAGAAAAATAGGTTGGCAGAAAAAAGGTAGGAATTAAATATTTACCTCTTGGAACACCTGATTCCGCATCAGGACCCCTGGACCTAAAGAAACATTAAAAGTCAGTTAATGAAACATTGCAACTGTGGAATAAAAAGGGGCCAGTGCAATAAAACATTTATAAAGCAAACAAAATTCTTTACAAATTTGCTTTATTTCATCTGACTTGTGCTTAACTCACCGTGACTTGTCTTTACTTGAACAGGTACATTTCCGGCCTGTTTTTTTTTTTTTTTGGACACACACACACACACACACACACACACACACACACGAAAAATAATTATACAAGTCTACAACTGTCACTTTGTTGTTGTAGAAAAAGGACACAAGAAACAGTCAACAGTGCACCTCTAACACCACCTTTCGTACCAAAAGAAGAGGTTGCTCCAAGCTTTGATAGGTACATGAATACAGTCTTGAGTCTTGAGCTTGTGCCAATAAGCACGTCTGGGTTTCAAGCCTCGAGAGGCCTTGTAAGCTCGTAGCTTACTGACCCCAGCTCAGGACAAAATTCATATACCTAACAGCAAAACAGCAACTAAAAATACAGGAGCCAGTGTGTTGAATAACATTTGTTAGTATTTGTTTTAATATTTTATTAATATTTTAATATTTAACCTCTTTAGCCACCTAAAATTATGGAAAGAAATGTAAATGAGGCTGTGTTTACACTGCTTCATATATTCACAAAACTTCAGCATGGGTCCAATACAGGCTCTTAAAGCAAAGAGTAGGAGAAGTGTTGTAGGTTAATGTTGATTAAAAACAAAGAGGTGTTTGTTATGTGCACCAGTAAGTCCAGTTTAACTTTGTAGCCAGAACATGTTTCAGATTTGCCAGTACATCCCGAGTGCTCTAAAAATAATAATAAAAAAATTTAAGAAATGCACCTTTGTCTTCTCAGAGGACTCTGTCGTCGAGCACAAAACTTTTCTTGAGAATCTGCTTAAGATTCACCCTATCATGTTATAGCCACTTGAAAAGTAAATCAAGACGTAAACTTGCTAGGAAAGTTGGTGCTGCGAGCAAAATAGCTGGACCACACCAAGCCAGTGACCTACATACTCACAGGACTAAGAATAAAGCTGTGAGCATCTTGAAAGGTAACACTCATCCTTTATTCACACACTTTGACACTGGGGGGCGCCAAAGGTTGCGTCTAGCTTTTAATGATTGATCAAATTTTTCCAAAAGTAATACTTTAAATTTCAAAGAATAAACTCTCTCTCTCTCTTGTTTTATTCTTGGCCTCTAAGATCTGCCTCTGCCTCGGTAACATTTGATGTCACAGCTTCACAACTGCTGATTGAATCAAGTTTGAACTTTTACAACCTCATAAAATTAAAGTATATTCACAGATGTAATGTTGGAGTAATTTTTTCATTAAAAATATATAAACAAAATGAAAACATTCATATCTTTGATTTGCTGGTAGCTTCTATGTAATGTGTGACCAGTCAATCGATTCCACTGTTGTGATTTTTTGCAAACTCTGAATTACATTTCAATCACAGATTGTGTATCAATTTATTTATACAGGTAGTTTCTAGACTTTTGTGAATTCCACCACTCATAACTACCCGCTCCATACACAGCTCTTCACAGATGCAGTTGGGGAATCCACCGTGATCTTGACTAACAGGAGCAGAGAGAAAGTGTGGCAGAGACACAATGAATTATTTATTGGCTGGTTTTGGTTTCAGGGCTACCACTGGTAGTAACAGCATGTGCTGGCAGGTAGGACGAAGAACCTTGGAAGGACACCATGAGCGAGTAAAGGGATATGGTATAATGGGCTGCTGTGATACACTGAGCATGAGAGCGTTGAGTGCAGAGATTGTGCAAGAAGCATCCGCGTGCCTTCCTACCAGACCTCTGAGAGAAAACAGAAGCCTGCTTGTTTTGCAGCACCGTATAAATTTTGGTGACTGTGAGGTCAACTCACACATACAGGGATCACAGTGTGGTGACGATGACACTCGACGTTACACATCTGCTGTGTACTGAAGGCGGTGAAACACTTACTGACAATGAGGAAGATACCCATGAAGAACAGGACCACTGCGAAAACCAGGCCACCGATTCTCAGAGATTCATAATCTGAAATTAAAAAAGAAAAAAAAGAGCTTTATGTTGCTTGCAGAAATGCATGGTAGCGTACGAAAACTTTCAGTTACAAAATAACGTGGAATCAAAAGCCCTCTGAGGCCTTTTGTGAAGCATTTGACCACATTTTGATTCAAGAGCAGCATTGCAGACATATTCTGCAACCCCCCTAATAGTCATGTTGGGACACCACAAATTCCTGTGAACTGCAGTCACCAAAAGTGTAAACACTATGGTCAACTCTTAACTCTGTAGTTGGCTCTCACAATACCAGTGAGTAAGATAAAATGGTGAAAAAGAAATCTGACCAGGGTCTGCTTGTTTTATATCTGGTGAGTTATAATGATGAGGTAATCCAATGGGCTTTTAACTATAATGCTAACGTCATCTACTGTGTTTGTTGTTACCAAAACAAATACAGTGACAACTTTGTTTTTTCATGCATCAATTATTGTCTTGCCAAGTTGACTACCAAGATGTCAAATAACGGCAGGTATTTCAAGGGTTATAAAGCAAATTAATACTGACTATGAATATTTTTTTTCTGAATTAATTAAATAACATTTTATCAAAGTGCGGGAAACTTGTATAGATGACAAAAATGTCATACTGTAATCCTCAGGTTGCTTCAAGGCTTTATAGAGGTATGAGGGGATAAAAGTACATTCATAAGTAAGTAAATAAAAATAAGTAAACATAATTTTGTGTAACAGAAACAAGTGTTTCCTGTCTTATTCCTGTTAATATCTTGTGACCCCTCAGATATATCTTGGGACCTTCTGAGGGGTGCCGACTCCCAAGCCGGGACCAACAACTGCTGTAGTAGTGTTTACTCAGGATGTAAGTAGTGGTTGGAAAGGTACAGTAGGGGCATGGTGAACACCAGAAATTGCCTTCTGCCCAAAAAACTGAAAGACAACAACTACACAACTGGTGGTAATTATATTAAGACATCAATGCAGACGTTAAGTCCTTTTGCGCAGTTTGGGCCTTGGATGGAGTGAAAATCATCAGACCTACAGCACAGTGGACAGGATTAGAAGCATTTGCAGTGGGACTACCCCAGAAGCTTGGCCTCAGGGTGAAAGTTTTCCATCACTTCTAGAAAAACAAGTGGAAAATGCAAACTCATCTCAACCTTCCAGCTGCTTCCTGTGTAGAGGGTCGGCCATTAAGAGACCACGTTCTTCTGATCAACACTTACCGTACTGAAAAGCACTGTCATAGTCTGGTGGGAGAGAACAGAGAGAGGAAACAAATGAGAAGCAGATTTACCCACTGACACACTTCAGAGAGCATTTATCACATGACAGCTATTCAGCGGTTTTTATGCCATCAGTCATTCATCTATTCATTAGCCAGTTTGGTGCCAGTACCAATTTATGTGCGAGCGAAAAATGAGTATGCAGCTTATCTTAATTTGACTTTTCTAAGCTTCTATTCAAGTATTACTCACCTTTGTCCTCATCTGCTGCTGAAGCTGTGAAAAAAAAAGAAGAAAAATCATTAGTCTGTAATGGACATTTGCATGTCAGCAAATGGCTAAATTGATGGTAGTGGGGCAAATTCACTCTCTAGAGAATATGTAAACTACCTTCAAACCCCAAATTGTGTCTGAGCAAAAGTGCATGTGGTGGGTTTTAATAATCCTACAAAGAGGAATAATTTATGGATAATGAATTCAGCAGAAATAGCTTCAAAATAAGAAGAGTTGTATTTTTGTCACATATACCAACTTTTGCAATAAATATGTACATAGTAAGAATCAAATTATCTCATCTTCAGAAAACCTACTATAAACAGAAATGCAGTGCGGTGATTCTACTCTCCATACCTTTGGTTAACTACTGTGTGTTTATGCTACTGCCCTGATCTGTGTTAATCTGTGTCTTGTCAGTAATGTGGGAAAGAGCAGACCCCTCTGCTCTGTCACATCCCTCTGTTCCCATCTGGGAAAACATGTTGGCTGCGTTCATGTGGTGCCTCCCCTTCTTTGTAGTCTTGCTAGAGAGTCTACTGTATTTGGTAATAATCTTAAATCTTAATCTTAAATTTCTCCTTCATGTTCTGTAACATCATGAAAACAACCTGTATAATTAGAGACAAGTTAACTTGGTGTACTAATAATAACACAAAGCAGACATTGTTTATATGAGCACCAGTGTTTGGAGTGAGAACGATGCAACCTTGGAGTAGCACATTGGAGGTGATATAAATACTTCTCTACTTGTGCTAAGGCAACATTTCCCATCATTTATCTGTTACTTTTACAGCTCTCTTTAAAACATTCAACAGACTGTGAGCAGCATTTTAAAATGTCAGCCCACCTTAGTAGTTGTGGAAGTATAAACCTTGACAACTGATGTTGAATACAGTGAAATGGTAATCTGTGAAATCATTTCCAAGTGTCAGCAGACTTGGAAGTGTACATGTGCCAATTCCACTTTCATCCCAGAGGCTCATCAACATAAATTCAGGTGCTAAAAGCTGAGAGATTTTTCTGACACCTTGTAAAAGAATCCCGTCCTTGATGTTTATGATTCGATGAGGTCTGAGGTGTAGTATGAATGAGTACGATACAGCTGAAACTCTGTAATATTTTGTACACCATCTTGCAATCCCATTTACTGCAGAGAAAAGTGCTGGATTTAACTTTGACCTCATTATCAGACAGTGAATATTAAATAAATAGTAAATCTATGAAGGAAAAACACATGTTACAGTATTGGTGCTGACAAGCCTCAGGAAATAAGGTCTAAGAGAGAAGATAAATAAAATCCCTTGTTGAAGCCAAATCTGCTGAACATCAGGCTCAACTGACGGCATGCAGCACACAGAGAGAAACGAACCAAAGACCAGGACCTGCGTTAGCAATGGAAAACCTGGCAGCAGTCTGAATAAATGATTATTCTAACTGCAGTGTGAGGAAACATTTACACTATTCTGACATGGGCTTTTACCTCACAGCAAAACACTGACATAAAATGGAAAATATTAAAAGGAGATTATGCACAAAACAACACTGCTGTAATGTTAACAATGAGACTTTTTTGACATGTTTGACCAAAAAGAATGCATGGCAAGCAGCCGCGCCAAATAAGTCAGCAGTGGAAACCAAAAAATAAAAAACAAAGATTTCATAAGGCCATGCATTGCCAGTGACCACTTCAATGCAGGAAACTTACCCACCATTTCCCTGCCAAACGCTGATCCTGTTATACAGACACATCAACTGCTTTAGTGTGGAGGGACTTAAAAGTAAAGCTACAGAAAGGGGAAGCAACTGAAGAACAGCACATTCACACAAGAGGGTTTCAACGTAAAGGAAGCTCACCGAGGGCAGGAGCCAACCAGGAACTGAATGCCACCAACACCACAAGATCCATTGTACCTGCTGATGAGAAAAAATAAATTCATAACAATTAAGATAAATAACTAATGTCTTGATCTGATCAAACAGAAACTGAAGTGCTCACATTTGGGTTATTTACTGTTTCATGAGGGTATTTTGCTCAAGTGAGATGAAGTTTTTTCTTAATGTGATTTACAGATAAACTTTGTAACATACTACCTCCCTCCAGACTAAAATAACTCAGCAACTTAATTAAACGGCCATTGCTAACAGAGAGGAGCGTGTTTTCAAAAGTTTCAGCAACTCACATCGCATACCTCCCAGAAACTACCAAACAGTCAGCCCAGTTACTTTTCCACAACGGCAGATCAGAAATGGGAGAACGTGCTGTATTTACCAAGGGTTTTTGTGAATGAAGCTGCAGTTGTAACTGATATTGTTAAAGGAACGAAAGAAAGCAGCAGAGGCTGAGATACCTGGGCTTTTAGTGACTTGTAGTATAGGTAAAACTTGTGTAAAATTGGTGAAATGTGCCCCTTTAATGGCGGTGGCCTCCATCTCAGCTAGACGCTACGTAAGAGGGTCATTGAAGTTATAAAGATGTGTCTTAATAATGTAGCCTCCTGACTCTGGGGTGAGGGAAGAGGGTCTATTTCAGGCTCTGCACCTCAGAACATGAAGCTTGGCAGTGGAGGGGTGCAAGGCAAGGCTGGTGTTGAGTTGCACTTGATATTTGGTCAGTGGGTTTCGAATTGGTTCTTCTGGGTCATCCAGTTTACACATGAGGCATGAACCCCCTGAGGATATTTTTCTGTCTATATATTACCTAGGGCATTCTTTAAGATTCTCTTACACCCATCAGTTTACATGCTAAGGTTCCACAACCAGACTCATCATGATTGGAAGCAAGAGTTGCAGAAGCTTCGCAATTTAAGGACACTGCGTGGCCAAAGAGCATGTTCATACAGTTCTGTCAGCTTCACAGCCAACACCGATACCAATTAAACCCAGACACATGACAACAAAAATGTAATGCAGGTACACAAAGCTTTAGCTCCACACTTGAAAATCTAAGCCATGGAATAAAATGTTTTGCATTGCAAAGATCAAAGTTGTGTTATGTTAAGCAGAGCCAAGCCCCCCCCCCCTTTGCCCAGAGCACTCCTGGGGATTCATGCATGACTAGAGTGGGGGTGTGAACATGGAGCTGGAGTGAAGAGAAATGAACACTTCAACCCTGGGAGCAGGATTAAGAACAAAGGCCTGCCAATCAGGTTTAATCAAACAAATACAGGGTGAGTTATTCTAACAAGAACCAATCCAATAATCTTGTTTGTTAGCCCTGTGAGTGACGTAGAGGAATATAACGGAGAGACGGCAAAGAAGCACATGAAGCCAACACTTAACAATTAATTACCATGGATTATAATAAACGGGATTATCATGGACAGTTTATAATTGGGAAAAAAAAGTCTTCCTTACATTAACCCTTATGGACAACCCCCACATAGGAGTACTTGTATTTGCACTCCTAATTATCACAGCACTGCTATGGTTCTTCAGATTTAAGTTTAGGTATAATGCACGGAGCAAAATTAATAAGTCTGGCTAGTTTTTCCAGTAGCAACACCCTTGCACAGGTTGAAAAAGATTTTATAGAAATTGTTGGCCGCAGCGTTGTTGGCAGCGCTCAGTGTAGAGTTATGTCACTATGAACTTCTCAGATAGCGTGGCATTGCTAGGCAGGAGAGCACCGCGCCAGCCAACACAGTGGAAACGCAAAACACGGTTTTTTTTGTTGTTTTTTTAAAACAAAAATCGACACACAACACCAATAAATTGAAAACAACACGACGGGCTCGTGCGTTTGTCAGGGCAACAGAAGCGGCGGCTGCGTGCAATTAAACCGTCACATGTCGACACGGGGATTTAGTTGGAAGTTAGCCGTTGGGTGGAAGTCGTGCTCTAGAAACCGACAAAAAAACAAAACAAAAATACAAAACAAAGAGGAAATACTCTGCAAGACAAAAACACGTGGACACAGAAAGGTATTTAGGAAGTCTTAAGATGCAGATTTTATATGTTTAATCTTACATTTCTAGTCGCAGTGAAATAACAAATGTGTTTCAGAAAATGCATTCATTCCAGGGGAGCACAAGGAATCAGACATTTTAAACAAACTTACCGTGTGTCAGCCTCCTATTAAACTCTAATGCGAGTTCTTTTCGCGCAGTGAGCCGAACTTTGCTCAGAAGTTTTCCACTAGTTACTCTATGTAAGAAAGAAAATGTGAAATGCAAAACCTTCTCTGATGATCTAATAAAAAATGAACAGCACTGATTAAAAATGAATAATTCTGTTTTGCATCCTGTGGAGATTGTTCAGAACTCGGCTGCACCAAGTTGAGGACTGTTCCTCCTTGGTCTTGTCTCAGGAATGAGAGAGAGAGAGGAGAGGGAGGGGGGCGGGGTGCTGGTGTGAGCGCTCAGCCACTGAAGTAACTCCCCAAAAAATTACCCCGGGCTGCCCTGCGCAGAGGTAAACAACACTAGCAGAGCCACAGTTCAGTGCTTCTGTGAGGAGGAGATTATTCCCAGGTGGTTTCGTTGCCAGCACTGATAGTAAAACATGGTTTTATAATGAACTGTAGATCATGCTCATTTCCTCCCCAAAGCCAAATAAATAAAAGATACACAAGTAGCATCAAACAGTGAGCCTGTTGTACTGTGGTTTAATTTACAGGCTTTGGAAAGTGGCTCAGTGCAGTGAAGTGAAAGCATAAACACTAGTGTGCTTTCACAGCCAGCACAGTCTGTCAGTGAGATATAGTTTTCTCTCAGCTATATGAAAACTGTCTCCCCAAGGTCTCTCCCACACCAAACTGCCAGATTCCCATCCTCCACCAGCAGCAAGAACAGAGAGGAGTTTAATGGCAGCAGGTCCCTTCCCAATATGGGGAACACAGGCTATGATATACAGAGTGTTTCCTGGGTATGAGGAATTTTCTTTTCCCCTCCCTCGACAAGAACCTTTGGTACAGTTAGCTTATCCAGACATCAAGTTTATACAATAGTTCCTCTTTCATCAGCAGAAGCCACACAATCATTACCCTTATGAGTCATACTTTTCTAATTTGTTATACAGATTGTAAACCACAGTACATTCTTTGGGAATGATCACAAATCGCAAACACACAGTGAGATGAAACATTGTTTATTGGTCACAAGAGTGAGGACAACACATAAACAAAACAAAACATACACATTTTTAAAACTATAAAGATATGATAAGACAGTTATAAGACTTGTGACCGTGCCTTGCTCTCAGCTGGTGTTAAGAGATTCTATGATTCCCTTCTCCACTAGATGGAGATGTTGGTCAAGGATGAGCGAGGTTTGTTTTCAACTCCAAAATGAACAATAGAGGACCAGACTTCCAATGAACAAGCAAAAAGAATTTCATAGAATCAAGAAGGAAGAGGAGAAGTGTGATGAGTAAGACTGGATGTAAACAAGCAGTAAACTACAGCTGAACAACTTCACAGTCTTCTTCATCCTGTTTAATGGGGGTAAAAAGCAGGGATGTAGAACCACATTCTACAGCTGTTTCTTTCACAAGGATGCATCGCTTCATGGATTTGGGAGGAAACAAGTTGAGTTTTTACCTTTATAACAGATGCTTTCTATTGCCTTGGAGTCAATGTCTCTACAGGCCACTGAAATGAAAAAGAGAAAAAAAATTGCAGTCAAAGGGCGCCTGAGCAAGGTAAAGACCTGTTCACTCAGGCACAACAGAGATTACAAACAACACTTCCGAACATTGTATTTTAAAGGTAAATTCAAACACTCAGGAGCAGAATTGATTCTGAGGGGTATTTTCTGGTGTGTTTAGGTTCTTGTGTTGAGAAGGGGGGGGGGGGGGGGGGGCACAAAACTTTATTCTCTAAGGGACTGACTTAAGGCTACAACACAGAACTAAAGATGAGCGCTCAAATTAATATTGCACCCAGATGAGTCTTAAGTGTCCTTGGATGACAAGCAGTGATTGGATTGCAAGCTTGGTAGCTTTTGATGGCCATGCCTGTCAGCCTCACCTGCTTTTTAATCAGTAATTACCATAGGGGATTCTCTGGCATTTCTTAATTAAATTGGATCAAATGCAATTAAAAACCACACTCTCATTCCTTTAAAAGGGCTCTGTGGAGTCCTTGTTTAGTTCTTGCTGTTAAGAGAATAAGCGGTTGAATGGTCATAGCACCGTCCCATCTCTCGCTGATCTGTACTTGATTATTTCAGTGGTCAAATTAAGTTTGCAGTTTGCATAATAAAGGGCAAGATGGAGTTCAAGATTGAAACTTCTACTCTAAGTAGGATTGTAGGTTAAAAGCGTAGATGAGCAGACAAAGTTGTTATCCTATTAAAACAATTAAAGTTAACATCAGGAGCAATGTGATCGGAGCATGTACTGTAGCAAAGTACTATCATTACCAAGGCCCTAAATGTAGCAATGCGTCTTCACCCATTACATCAATACAGAGGAAATCTTACAGTACAGCTTTCACATACTCACCATCTAGAAAAGTCCCCAGCGCTCCAGGAGCCGACAACCACAGACACATCAGTGGTAATTTTCCCACCTGCAGTCTTCATATCATCTTTGGAGTTGTTATTGTAGTTGCCACAGGCGCCGCACATTTTACCGGACAGGGTGCTGTCAACAACGACGCTGACCTCCTGTGAGACTGAGTAGGTGACCCGCACAGAGGATGCCCTCTCGATGATCACAGTCTTCTCTGAGATTTTGACGGATAGTTCATGCGTCACTTCGCTGGGAAGAGACACTTTCCTGCCATTTACCTGGATGACGTGAAGACGGGGAACGGAGAAGAAACAGAAAATGAGTTGAGACAGAAGAAAAAAAAATCGACATCAAAATGATTGCTGTCGTGGTTTAAACTATTCTTTATCCCTTCCAGCTCCTCTCACCCAGGTCACGTGTTGGCTGTTCACTGTGACGATGGTTTCCTTGAAGAACACATACACGGTGGCAACAACTGGAGATGCCCCTTTACTGCAGACCCTGACGTCCACAACCACACGGAACCACAGCTCAGCGGTCTCATCACACAGAGATGCCACTTCAAATGCCCCTTGAGCTCCCATGGTTCCAGACATGCCGTCAAAGGAGCTGAGGTGGCCAACTTGGTTGATGCTGCAGTGGCCCTGTTTGGCCTGGCAACCTCTGACTCCATCTCTTACACCACAAACCTCCCGACTGGCACAGGACAGCTTTTCACACTTCACCACACCAGAGGCCTGGCACACACACTTGGACTTACAGTCTTTGTCCACCACTGCTTGGCCCACCTGGAAACACACATTGTGTATAATGTGTTATCTTCCAGTTTGATGAATAATGTCTTACATCTCTATTCATGTGTAAATGCTATGACAAGAAAAGAAAGTATTAATAATTTTTTATAGGCTTCTTTTTCATGAATAACTCTAAATTGCAGCACAGTCTCTATGTATGACAACAAAGTGTCAGCACAGTTTTACCGTCAGATATTTGCCGTCGTACACACACCCACAGTTGTCCAAGGAAACACACTGGATGCCATCGAATACAAAGCCGGCATCACATTGACATCCTTCAAAACAGCTTTCAGAACAGGAAAATGGGTAAATAAAGCTGGCACAGGTCCCGCCACAGGTGTCGGCACACACCTCATAGTGACTGTGTGGAGGGCAGGAAGCAGCTAGAAGAGAAGAAGACATTTGTAAGACTTTGTCTGTGCACCTGAAATATAAAACATAAAAAAAAATAAAAAAAAAATTCTTCAGCTAAAATACATGTATGTGTAACTTACGGCAGAAGGAGCTGCTCCTCCATGGCTGGATTTGAACACCTGCACTTTGGCAGGCCAAAGCATAGGCCTGCACACTGTTACACAGAGTATCTTTCTTGCCATCCACAGCACACACATCAAACACACAATGAGAAACATATGCTGCTGGGTCGACTTTACTGTGGCAGGCTTTGAAAGGCCCATTACGTGCACTTATGATGCCGCAGGAGTCAGGTTTTCCGTACAATGCAGCCTTGGCCTGCTCACACACTGGGCACTGTCCTCCACAGCCACCACACACGTACCCAGGCAGGTCCACCACCCACGCCTTCCCAAAGTCATCAACACTTTTTGTTTGTTTGCCACCAGGTAGTATGAAGTCATCGCCACCCTTCTTGTTGTAGTTGCCACAGAGACCACACATCTTACCCTGGTATGTAGAAGGCACGATCACCTCAACATAATAGACAGTGTCATAGAGGACTGTCAGTCCAAAGTCTGTTCGGACAATTATGTTGCGACCTTCCTGGGTGACTCTAAGACGCCCATCGTCCAGGGAGAGAGGGAGGTTTAGAAGTTCATCATCCACCTGGATGGAGAAAAAGGAAGATGAATCACAGTGACACATTTTTCCTCTGAAATAAGTAAACGTGCAAATGCAAACACAAAATTGGATAAAGTTGTTGCACTCACAATAACTTTCCATGGCATTCCCTGCTGGATGTAAATGACAAAACCATAGACTGCTACTGTAACCGACTTGGTAACAGCCACTTTTCCATTTCCATACTTCTCATTCCCCTGAGTTACAGTGAATGGAGTCAGCTGGCCATTGTCATCATTGCAAACTTTGGCCAATACATAGACACAGGTACCCTGGAAATCAAATCTCCGTCCATCAAAGGAAATGTAATGAGGGTCACCAGAAGCGACACACTTGCCTTGCCCCTCAGGGTGGCAGCCTTTCACTCCCTTTACGAGCTTACAGATCTCCCCTGTTCGGCACTTGGCCTTCTGGCAAGATACCGCGCCGTTCTCTCCACAGATGCATTGTGCCACACACTCGCTTTCAGGGTAGAAGACGTCTCCCTTCCTGTAGTACTGACCGCCGTATGAGCAGCCACAGTCTCTCACGGGCATGCAGGTACCCCCACTCAGCAGGTAGCCTTCGTCACACTCGCAGGCTTCTGTGCAATGCCTGTGACAGGTGGCATGGGACGTTAAGCTGGCGCAGCTGGCTGGGCAACCCGTGGCACACAGGGTATAATGGCTGTTCGCTGGACACAACATTGCTGTGGGGTAGGATGAGAAGAAGGGGAGAGGAACAGGGTGAGATATGAAAGATGTATGTATGTATTTGAAATAAGAGATTTGAAATATGAAAACAAAAAATGAAAACACAACCACAAACTCACGACAGAAGGTTTCTGTTCTCCAGGAGTGGATGGTGATTCCTCTGCTCTGACAGGCAGAGACATACACTCCCACTGCATCACAGACTGATCCACGGTGGCCATGATAATGACAGGCATCATACACACAGTCCTCCAGGTAAAGGGCAGGGTCCACATGGCTGTGACAATCTCTGAAAGGCCCTGCTTTGTCAGCGATAATACCGCAGTACTTCTGGGCTTGGTACTCTTTCTTCTGGGAGTCTGAACAGGCCTGGCAATACGCCCCCTGACAGACTGATGAACAGCCTGGTACGAGGGCCACCTGCCAGCTCTCCCCCAGCTTGACTCCGTCAGGGGCAATCTGGCCATTCCGCATGGTCAGGTCATCCTTAGCGTTTCCGTTGTAGTTGCCACACAAACCGCAGACTGCACCCTGGTAGTTGCTGGGCAGAGTTACGCTCACCGTGCTCCGCCAGTCAAAGGTCACGGTGATACCAACAGCTGTCTCCACAACAGCTGTCCAGCCACTGAGAAACACCACCAGCTCATTATTGTACTCCAGTGGCAACAAAGCACGCTGCCCATTGAACTGAGGAGCAAAAAGTGGGGGAGGGAGGGGGGAATATTTTTAGGAGATTAAAGATTTAATAATTCTGTGGTCCTTAAAATGCAATTAAATTTATACGCAGAAGAGCATGAGGGATGTCAGAATTAGCACAATGACAGAAGGCATTATCAGATCATCCCCTAATTTGTATGAGGCTCAGAATATCTGTCCTGTTTTTATTTTCAGTGCTGTAACTACATGCTGTGTCCCATTTCATTTCTCTCCAAAAAGCCACATAAAAACAAGGCTGCCACTACCTCTTCAATATTTTATTAAATCACCTGTATGCTTCACATTATCCATACTCACCAGGACCATGTAGGGGTATTCTCTGCTGATGGTGAGGGTGATTCCATATATGGAAAACGTGACGGTCCTTGTGTAGGACACAGCTTTGCTTCCCCGGTGGTCGTTCTGCACAGTCACCTTGAACGGCACTAGCCCAGGCTGCTGAGAACACAGTCCCACCAGCTGATATACACATGTTCCCTGGAAGTCATACCTGCGGCCATCAAAAGTGCGGTAGTGTGGGTCACCTGAAGCTGTGCATGTGGCGTGACTGATGGGTCGGCAGGCGCGCTCTCCATCCTCTATGGTGCACCTTTCTTTGCCAGAGCAGGATGCCTCACGGCATGTCACCATGCCCAGGGTCGCATCGCATTCACATAGGCGACCACAAGCCTCATCGGCCCAGAAGTGCTGGCCTGGCTTGTAATAGCGACCCTGGTAGGAGCAACCACATGTTTTAGCAGGTACACAGACACCAGCGCTGAGGACATACCCCGCATCACACACACAGGTCTCAACACAGGCACCGTTGCAGGCCTGCTTTTGTTCAGGGAACGGGCAGGATGGTTGGCACGGGCTGGCACACTCTTCATAGTGGCTGTGACGCTGACAGTTCATTGCTGGATAGGAATTGAAATTAAATAGCATTAACGAAGAAAAAAAAAAGGTTAAATATTTGATTGAAATATTGAACAAATTGACTTTCTCACAAATACTCACGACAGCCAAACTTTTTCCTCCAGTTCTTGATTATTATCCCTCCCTCACGACACTGCCTACTGTAGGAGGCCAATGCCTGGCACAGCATCCTCTTGTCTCCCTTATTCTGACACATATCATACACACAGCTGTCCATGAAGGCCTTGGGGTCCAATTTTCCATGACATCTCTGGAACACACTATTGGTCTTGGCTGTGAGAGCCCCACAGAAAGCCTCAGTCTCATAGAGCTTAGCCTGCTTATCATCACAGGTAGCACAGTTTGTCTCGCATGTGTCCCAGCAAGGATGGTCCTTGTCCTGGTCAGGCGTTTGCCAGCTCTTGCCCCACTCTATCACTGACGAGACAGCTTTTCCAGCAGGATTCTGGAACTCATCACCGATGTTGCCATTGAAGTTGCCACACAGACCACAGACACTGCCGAAGTAGCTGCTGGGCAGCTGAATGACCAGTTCCCAGTTCCAGTCATAGCTGACAACCAGGCCAAAGTTCGTCTGCACCATTGCAGTATGACCACTTTGAATCACTGACACTTCACCGTCACCCAGTCGTACTGGAAGATTCAGCAGTTCCCCGTCCACCTATATAAATGTATACAGTATATATATATATTACATACACACACTGAAAAAACTACAGGTCAAACACATCAGACAAGCAACTAAAATCTTACCGTGACTCGACCAATTTGGTTCTTGCCTATGAAGATGCTGTACCCATATACAGACACATCTACCTCCCTGACGTAGGAAACTGCTGTGCTTCCTCTGTTATCATTCCTCTCTGTGATTGAGAATGGCACAAGACCATCCAGATTCCCGCAGGTCTTGGAGATGACGTACTTGCAGGTGCCCTGGAAGTTATAGTTGTAACCATCGAATGTGTGGTAGTGGGGGTCACCCCAGGCCCAGCAGATGCCTGTGTAGTTGGGGATGCACACAGCTTCACCCTTCTCAACCCGGCACGTCTCCTTGACCCGGCAATTGGCATCTTTGCAGGGATCTACACAGGACAAACAAAGGGAAATTAATTGGAAAGTGATTTAACTCAATACTAATTTAATTGTACCTTTATTTACAGTACATTTATTGAAAAGAGTATTTACTTTTAATTCAGTTGAGAATAGATAAAAGGTGGATAATATAAATATACAGTTATTAGTCTTGCCTATATTGTAGCATGCACGTTTTCCTTTCTTGATCATGCACTTGGTGCTTTGAGGGCAGGAGTGCTTTTGACAGACGAGGCCTGTTGCTGGATTACAGGTGCACTTTGTGTTACAGTCTTCCTCATACACAACCTCACCAGGCTGGGGACACAGAGCAGGTTCATTACACAGGGGAAAATAAAACAATTGAAATAACAGGTTCAAGAAGGATCCATATCATTCTCATTCCACCTCGTCAAGAAACACAAATTTAGACAATCTGCTATTTAAATCACATGAGAAAGCCGGGCTAATGTCCAACATGGTGGAAAAAGTCATGAACATGAGCATGAATGTTGCTATAGGTATTTGCTTAAGACACTTCTACACTAAAAAGCAATCTGCTGTACATAACAGTTTATGAAATGGCTTTTTTGTACAGAGGTGTTGAATTTTACCCTGTAAGTTTTCCCATTGTCATAGCAGCCACACTCAGTCTCTTTAACACATATCTGTCCATTGAATAAGAAGCCATCATCACATTCACAGCCTTCTGTACAGCTGGTGGAGCACTGGACTATCTCTGTGAGGCCTGGGCAGGATGCAGAGCACGTGTCTGCACACACCTCATAGTGACTGTTGGCTGGACATTTCATGGCTAAAATAAAACATCACAAGACAGTGAGAAGGTGTATTAGAGAAGAGGCTGTGCTTTCATGTAAAGTTTACAGTATTAATATGATAGAGGACAATAAAAGGTTGATTTGGAGCAAAAACAAAAAGGTGAATTTCTGTTTGTCACTCACGGCAGAATGAAGCCGTCCTCCAGTTTTTGACGTCCACTCCTGCCATGTGACAGTTGAAAGCATAGGCCGCTATGCTGTTGCACAGCACCTTTCCATCCCCATTGGAAGCACACACATCAAACACACAGTCTTCAAAGTATGGCTCTGGGTCCAGTTTACTATGGCAGACTGCAAAAGGACCTTTGGGTGCTGTAACAACACCACAGTAAGTGGACTTTGAAAACACGGCCTTCCGAGCTGGCTCACATTTAGGACAGTAATTGCCTTCACAGCCATTTTTACACACCACCCCAGGGATGGTGACCTTCCATGACGTTCCAAACACATTCACGTTGTTGGTGAGCTGGCGCTTGGGCGTTTGGAAGTCATCTTTTTGGTTACCGTTGAAGTTACCACACAGGCCACAGACCTTACCACGGTAATTGCCAGGTACTGTGACTGTCACATGGTAGATCAGGTCATAAGTCACCAGCAGTCCGAAATTTGTTGCAATAACATAATGCTGGCCTTCTTGATAGACCAGCACAGCTCCATTATCCAGATTCACAGGAAGATAGTTAAACACTCCATTTACCTACAAAAAGAGGCAAAGGTCTCATTTACAGAACTACTGATGGTATGAACGCTAAAATATTTGTCAAACTACTTTTACATCTCCTGGGTATTTCTGCCATTACACAATACAAGTTAAAAAGAGGAAAAAAAATCACTGTATTGCAAATATGGATATTGTTCAAATAAGGATTATTCACCAGGACTCCAAACATGCTGTTCCGCATGATGAGAGTGAAGCCATAGACCTTCACAGCAACCAGCTTAGTGACAGACACCACTTTGTTGTTCACCATCTGGTTCCACTGCACGTTCTCCACCTCAACAGAGAAGGCCACCAGGTGGGTGCCTTCCAGCCCACAGCTCTTAGACAGTGTGTAGGTGCAGGTGCCCTGGAAATCAAATAGTCGCCCATCAAAAGAGCGGTAGTGGGGGTCACCAGAGGCGTGGCAAACACCCTTACCAACAGGGTGACATTTTTGGACGCCATTCTCTACTTTACACTTCTCATTAGGGCCACATGAGAACTTCTGACATTCAACCTGAGAAAAACAGTTGAGAAACAAGAGAAGTGTTATAAAAATCCAGACTGCAAGTTCACACTGACCACTATCAAATTATTACGACTGCTAGTTTAAACTGTTCACTTCAGTATGCATTACCTCTCCATCTTGTGTGCATTTGCACTCCTCCTGACATTGCCCGTTGGGATAAAACACTTGGCCGATGTGGTAGTAGCGGCCGTTGTAGAGGCAGCCACACTGTGAGAAGGGAACACATACATCTCCGCTGAGGATGTACCCGTCATCACAGGAACAGCCCTCCTTACATTGAGCCTTGCAGCCTGAAGGTGGGGCCAGACTTTTGCAAGTGGCAGGACAGCCAGTCGCACAAACTTCATAGTGGCTGTTGACTGGACATTTCACCGCTGGACACGGGGGACATAAAAGACAACGTGAATGTTTTTTCAGTTTACTGGACACAGATGCCAAATGTTAGCAGTTATCACAAAACGTCATAAAAACACACACATTAAAGTAAACATAAAAAAGGGGTAGGCTCACAGAACAGTAAAAATGTTATTGTTATACTTTCTATACTGCTACAGCATATAATGCTCACTTTGCCTGTTATGTAAATGATTTTAAGGGATTGCATTTCTCACCACACAACTGACTAGTTCTCCAGCTGTACACCTTGGCCCCCGCAGCCTGGCAGGCAGATGTGTATGAGGTAATAGCCTGACACAGCACATCCTTCCTGCCTTTATACAGGCAAACATCATAAACACAGTCTTTAAAGTAACCAGCTGGGTCCACCTTAGCATGGCAGCCACGGAATGGCCCATTGGGGTCTCTCAGTATACCACAGAAGTCTCCTTTTTCGTACTGAACCTTCTGGGTAATGTCACAGTCCGGACACGCCCCTTTACAGCCCTCGACACAGCCCGGGATCTCGGCCACTCGCCAGCTGGCACCAAAAGCTGCTGGTGAGACAGCTTTGTCACCGTTCTTTGGAATCAGGTCATCCTGGCCTTTGCCGTTGTAGTTGCCACAGAGGCCGCAAACGGCTCCCATGTAGTTGCTTGGAAGTGTAACAAACACAGCATTTTCCCAGTTGAAGGAGACTTCAAGGCCAAAGTTTGTGGTGAGGAGAGCATACCAGCCACTCTTATATACAGATACCTGCCCTCCAGCCAGGGTCACAGGCAGATTGACCAGCTCATTATTCACCTGGAGGAGAATATACAGTTATACTTATCTATTATGATGAAATATTGCGAAGAGAACATGTCCAAATAACTCAGAGAATGAAACTTGCACATGCTAAACATTATGTAGTTCTTACCATAATCAGGCCCTTGTGTGTCCTCGTAATGACAATGCTGAGGGAATACACCTTGACCTCGACTAACTTGGTGTAGGAAACCACCTTGCTGCCCCGGTGATCATTCTGCACCAGCACCTCAAAGGGCACTAGCTCCGGGTTGTTGGAGCAGAGTGAAACCAGTTGGTAGACACATGTTCCCTGGAAGTCAAACCTCGTCTTATCAAAGGTCATGTAGTGGGGATCACCTGTGGCCTGGCAGGTGCTATAGGAGAGAGCTTGGCACTTTCTTATACCGTCAACCACCTTGCACTGCTGTCCTGCCCCACAGCCTTTATTCTGGCACTCCACCAGTCTGCTTCCAGCAATGCATTTACACCATTTCTGACAGCCCTGGTCAGCCCAGAATGACTCCCCAGCAGGGATGTATCGACCCTCGTAGGTACAACCACACTGAGCGGCAGGCACACACTGACCTCCGCTCCAAACAAAGCCTGCGTTACAGGTGCAGGTCATCACACAGGGGCGTTTGCATTTGGAGGGAGCATCAGGATCAGAACAAGTGGCAGGACAGGCATTGCCACAGTGCTCATAGTGGCTGTTGGCTGGACATTCAAGACCTTTAGGAAGAGGAAGGAGAGTAGAGTTTGATAAGTGCTTTGATCAATAATGAGAGAATGAAAGGTGAGTTGATCTAGTGATTAATTTAGCTGAAATTACTTACGGCATTTTGCCATCTTCCTCCAATCTTGAACCTGGATCCCAGCAAGCTGGCAGGCTTCAGTGTAAGCCTCCAGTGCATTGCACAGGAAATGTCGAAGGCCACCTCCCATGCATATGTCATATTTACAGTTCTCCAGGTAAGCTTGTGGGTCAATGATGGCATGACATTTGCTGAATGGCCCATTTACTATACGTGTGATCAGCCCACAAAACAAGTCACCCTCCCACATCTTCATCAGGCTGTGCTCACAACGCTCACACCCACCCACACAGTCATCTCTGCACAGAGCATCTTTCACCAACCCTGGAACCTTCCAGCTGCTCCCAAAGGCCACAGCCCCATCTGCCTGGGTGCCAGAGGGTGTAGTGAAATCATCATTGGGGTTGCCATTGAAGTTGCCACAGAGACCACAGGTCTTACCAGCATAACTGCTGGACAGAGTGACCACAAGATAGTGTTCCCAGTCATATCGGACAGTAAGGCCAAAGTCGGTCTCAATGACCACAGAGTGACCGCTCTGAAACATTTTCAGTTTGTCATTGTTCAAGGTTACTGGCAAACTCCACAGACTGTTGTCAATCTGCACAAAAGAGAACAGAAAATACATTATGAGGTCATTACATTCATAATTGATTGATTTAAATGTATGCATTTTAATGTGTCACACAAAGAAATAATTAAAACTAATGATCATAATAAATTGAATTAAATATTACAAATTATTTAATTGAAATAAAATTTACATATTGAATAACAATCCTTTACAAACAGAAAGCCTTACCCTCACACGACCTGTTTCAGACCGAACTACTGTGATGGTGATGCCATACACCTTCACTGTGACCAGGGCGACATAAGACACCCTGAGGCTTCCTCTGTTCTCGTTCTGGGCAAGGATCTCAAAGGCTGGGAGATCATCCTTTCCACAGTTTTTAGCAATGACGTATGTGCAGGTACCCATGAAGTTATAGTGTCGACCATCAAAGGTACGGTAATGAGGATCTCCCATGGCCCAGCAGGTACCAGGTTTGCTTTCCACTGGCTTGGGGACACAGGAAGGATACCCTCCCTTCATCTCACACACCTCACTGGCACTGCAGGTGATACTGCTGCAGGACAAAGATACTAGAAAAACATGAAGAATATAAATGAATGTCCACATCATTACAGTTAATCTATCTGCAATGTAAAACATTTTATTGCTCAAGTCAATATAATGTTTTTCTTAACAATATCTCCTTGAAACTTTTTTTTTCTAATGATGAACAGCTATGGTATGTGCTCCTTACCTGGCTTCATACATGGTGCTGGGGCACCGTAACCATTCATCTGGCTGACTCCTATACTGTAGACAGCAAAGCTGGAACCAGAGCTGGACACAATGTGTCTGTTGCTGCCAGGGGCTTGTTTGTAGGACATCTCTGCCCAAGAGAAGTCTGTCCCTGCAACCTTTTTCCACTGAACATCTTTGGGTAGGTTCGCACCATCAATACGCAGCTCTGCCATTGCACTTGTCTGTGCCACAATCAGGGCTTTGTTTTCAAAGTCATCAAGAGCACTTAGTGCATACGAGGAGCAGAAACGGTCTGTAGGCAGGATGGTCATCAAGAAAGGGTCGTAGTACTGGATCCAGCCAAATGAGATGCCGTTGAAGAGCAGGAGGACCTGGATGCCATGATCAGCCTGAATGGACAGTGTCTCAGGATCATGGTAGTGGATTTCCATTACCTGCCCCCTGATCAAACTCAAAGCATCTTCATGCTTGCCATATTGGATGGTGACTCGGGTGGGCTGGGAGGCCTGGAGGAATAGGCTGTCAAATTTCTTCTGGAAATGCAGGGGAGGCACAATGAAGCTGGAGCCCCACCTGCTCACTGGCAGTAGCTGCTCGTAAACATGGTTGCATTTTGAGAAGCGCCAGGTGCAAGTGTGACCCGTGAAAACAGCAACAGGGTGCTGAGAGGCGACTCTAGTGCCGGAAAGTTCATTCTCGCTCTGGAGCTGGACACTCTCATATGGCTGGAGATCTATCACCATGTGGCTGCCACTCTCATAAACACGACCCTGGAAGTTGATTGAGCCTCGTGGGAAAATCTCTACTTTATTGGCCTGTTTTCCATTTGTCACAGAGAATTCTTTAAAGGAGCCAAAGGGCGTCCCAGCAGGTGTAAAGATGAAATATTCTGTACCCCACTCAGTGGTGGGATACACCACAGAGGTGTCTGCTGTGTACTGCTTGTAGCTGAAGGAGGTTACAGTCACATCCGCTGAGGCTTCAATGTGCACTGTGTTGGGAGACCTCGCACTGCCGTACATCTCGACACTGGTAGGGAGACTGATGGTGACCCCTTCTCCAGCATTTAGAGTTTTCTCTTGCCTGAAGTTTAAGGGACGCACTTCGACTGTCACTTTAGCATTGGCTTGAACAGCGGTGACATAGAGCTGAAAGCGAGGACTATCGTAATGTGGAGCATAATTCTGCATGAATGACAGGGCAAACTCCGTCCCTGCCCATCCAGCGCTAGATGGACCTGACAGACAGGGCAAGGGCAAGGAAACAGACAGGAAAAACACGTGTCAAAACAAGAGTTGTTTTTAAGTTACCTAAAGTGAAGTAGTCAGGTACAAAATTGTGCTTCACAAATCCTGTGTATGAGAGGAAAATATGTAAAAAAAAAAAAAAAAAATGTTTCCTTGCCTTGCCTGTTTCTGTCAGGTCCATCTAGCGCTGGATGGGCAGGGACGGAGTTTGCCCTGTCATTCATGCAGAATTATTCTCCACATTACGATAGTCCTCGCTTTCAGCTCTATGTCACCGCTGTTCAAGCCAATGCTAAAGTGACAGTCGAAGTGCGTCCCTTAAACTTCAGCAAGGAAAAAACTCTAAATGCTGGAGAAGGGTCACCATCAGTCCTCCTACCAGTGTCGAGATGTACGGCAGTGCGAGGTCTCCCAACACAGTGCACATTGAAGCCTCAGCGGATGTGACTCTAACCTCCTTCAGCTACAAGCAGTACACAGCACTCTGTGGTGTATCCCACCACTGAGTGGGGTACAGAATATTTAATCTTTACACCTGCTGGGACGCCCTTTGGCTCCTTTAAAGAATTTCTCTGTGACAAATGGAAAACAGGCCAATAAAGTAGAGATTTTCCCACGAGGCTCAATCAACTTCCAGGGTCGTGTTTATGAGAGTGGCAGCCACATGGTGATAGATCTCCAGCCATATGAGAGTGTCCAGCTCCAGAGCGAGAATGAACTTTCCGGCACTAGAGTCGCCTCTCAGCACCCTGTTGCTGTTTTCACGGGTCACACTTGCACCTGGCGCTTCTCAAAATGCAACCATGTTTACGAGCAGCTACTGCCAGTGAGCAGGTGGGGCTCCAGCTTCATTGTGCCTCCCCTGCATTTCCAGAAGAAATTTGACAGCCTATTCCTCCAGGCCTCCCAGCCCACCCGAGTCACCATCCAATATGGCAAGCATGAAGATGCTTTGAGTTTGATCAGGGGCAGGTAATGGAAATCCACTACCATGATCTGAGACACTGTCCATTCAGGCTGATCATGGCATCCAGGTCCTCCTGCTCTTCAACGGCATCTCATTTGGCTGGATCCAGTACTACGACCCTTTCTTGATGACCATCCTGCCTACAGACCGTTTCTGCTCCTCGTATGCACTAATGTGCTCTTGATGACTTTGAAACAAAAGCCCTGATTGTGGCACAGACAAGTGCAATGGCAGAGCTGCGTATTGATGGTGCGAACCTACCCAAAGATGTTCAGTGGAAAAAGGTTGCAGGGACAGACTTCTCTTGGGCAGAGATGTCCTACAAAACAAGCCCCTGGCAGCAACAGACACATTGTGTCCAGCTCTGGTTCCAGCTTTGCTGTCTACAGTATAGGAGTCAGCCAGATGAATGTTTACGGTGCCCAGCACCATGTATGAAGCCAGGTAAGGAGCACATACCATAGCTGTTCATCATTAAGAAAAAAAAAGTTTCAAGGAGATATTGTTAAGAAAAACATTATATTGACTTGAGCAATAAAATGTTTTACATTGCAGATAGATTAACTGTAATGATGTGGACATTCATTTATATTCTTCATGTTTTTCTAGTATCTTTGTCCTGCAGCAGTATCACCTGCAGTGCCAGTGAGGTGTGTGAGATGAAGGGAGGTTATCCTTCCTGTGTCCCCAAGCCAGTGGAAAGCAAACCTGGTACCTGCTGGGCCATGGGAGATCCTCATTACCGTACTCTTGATGGTCGACACTATAACTTCATGGGTACCTGCACATACGTCATTGCTAAAACTGTGGAAAGGATGTATCCAGCCTTTGAGATCCTTGCCCAGAACGAGAACAGAGGAAGCCTCAGGGTGTCTTATGTCGCCCTGGTCACAGTGAAGGTGTATGGCATCACCATCACAGTAGTTCGGTCTGAAACAGGTCGTGTGAGGGTAAGGCTTTCTGTTTGTAAAGGATTGTTATTCAATATGTAAATTTTATTTCAATTAAATAATTTGTAATATTTAATTCAATTTATTATGATCATTAGTTTTAATTATTTCTTTGTGTGACATTAAAATGCCATACTTATATTAATCAATCAATTATGAATGTAATGACCTCATAAGTTATTTTCTGTTCTCTTTTGTGCAGATTGACAACAGTCTGTGGAGTTTGCCAGTAACCTTGAACAATGACAAACTGAAAATGTTTCAGAGCGGTCACCCTGTGGTCATTGAGACCGACTTTGGCCTTACTGTCCGATATGACTGGGAACACTATCTTGTGGTCACTCTGTCCAGCAGTTATGCTGGTAAGACCTGTGGTCTCTGTGGCAACTTCAATGGCAACCCCAATGATGATTTCACTACACCCTCTGGCACCCAGGCAGATGGGGCTGTGGCCTTTGGGAGCAGCTGGAAGGTTCCAGGGTTGGTGAAAGATGCTCTGTGCAGAGATGACTGTGTGGGTGGGTGTGAGCGTTGTGAGCACAGCCTGATGAAGATGTGGGAGGGTGACTTGTTTTGTGGGCTGATCACACGTATAGTAAATGGGCATTCAGCAAATGTCATGCATCATTGACCCACAAGCTTACCTGGAGAACTGTAAATATGACATATGCATGGGAGGTGGCCTTCGACATTTCCTGTGCAATGCACTGGAGGCTTACACTGAAGCCTGCCAGCTTGCTGGGATCCAGGTTCAAGATTGGGAGGAAGATGGCAAAATGCCGTAAGTAATTTCAGCTAAATTAATCACTAGATCAACTCACCTTTCATTCTCTCATTATTGATCAAAGCACTTATCAAACTCTACTCTCCTTCCTCTTCCTAAAGGTCTTGAATGTCCAGCCAACAGCCACTATGAGCACTGTGGCAATGCCTGTCCTGCCACTTGTTCTGATCCTGATTGCTCCCTCCAAATGCAAACGCCCCTGTGTGATGACCTGCACCTGTAACGC